GAGGAGGAGGTGGAGGAGGAGGAGATGAGGAGGGCGCTGGCAGAGCTGAGCCCGCGGTCGCGGAGGTGCCTCCTGTTCCGGACGTTCTCGGATTCGATGGAGCAGGATGGGGTCGGGGATCGCGCTCTGGAGATGCGGAACGTCAAGTCCTTCAACGAAAATCTGTGCCTGTGGAGGGCGGAGGGTTCCGTGCCGGCGATGCGGGCCAGGGACCTCGCCGCTTCCCGGTACCTCGACTCCTTCAGCAAGCAGGAGTTGGTGCAGCTGTGGATCCACGCGGAGGACGAGTTGAGGACGCGGCTGCAGGAGGTGGCGGAGGAGAAGGAGGTGGTGGAGTCGATGCTGAGGAGTCGGGGGAGGCCGCCCTGAGGCGGGTCCGTCCGGTCGCGAGTGGAGAAAAATGTGCGGGGCGGCGATCGTGCCCTTTGGCAGGGATCGTGCCCTTTGTTGCTGCCGGTCTCGGCAGGTTGCATGGCCGCAATCTCGAGCGTCCGCCGAAGGACGCAGCGGTAGATAGGTAGAAGTAGGTACGACGGCAGTGCATTAGTGGTTGGGGCACTCCGCCCGATTGTTTCGTTTCTTTTTTATACGATGCACTGAATCTGGGGAAAGTGCGGCGTAGATTCCACGTTTTCGAAGCACGTTTCCTTATCTTCTCTGTCCAGTTGTCTTTTTCGACCGATGGTGCTCGCGGGGGAACGTCGGGCTTCGTGGCCCCCCCCTTCGCCCCCCTTTCCGAGCGGTTTCACCGATTTTACAGCTCGTGGAGTTCGCTTCCTTTCCACTCGAGCTTCGCGACTCGTTCCGACCGACTTCGACCCCCAAGACCTGGCATCCCGAAAGGAAAAATCCCGCCACCGGATCGCCAAAGCCGTAACCTCGCCGAAACCGTAACCGCTCCAGTGCCATAACCGCGCCAGTGCGATAACCGCCCGCATCCGCCCGACGGGAGACGGCACGTCCTCTCTCGATCTGCTCCCTCCAACGAATGGTCCCTGGAGAGATGTGCACGGAAGGAGGATGACACGGATGCCGGATTCAAGGATTGAAGATCAGGAGGTTCCGACCTCCATCCGGAGTCGAACGGCGAATCGAGGGGATTCGCATCCCGGTAAATGCTTAATCGTCTGCTGCTTCAACGCTTTTTCTTCTTAGCTGCAGTGTGACTGCGTTAAGTCGTGGCTTTTCCCCCCGTTTTTTCCCTCTCTTCTTGTCGTAATGATGTTCTCGGGATGAATGGGTAATTAGCGCTTTCGATATCAATTTTGTTTCTGCGGTTAATCGCTTGTCAGTCGCTTCGATCTTAAGCTGTATATAGTGTTAAGCGGAATGATTAAGCGAGAGGACCGACAGAGCGGCCCACAAATTCGAATCGACAATTGAGCCGACGCTTTTTGGGTCGCCCTGTGGACGCGGGAGGGGGCAGGGACTCGGGGGTGGATCCGAGCCCCCGATCGTTGAACCCCGAGTCCGCGCCCCCGATCGCGGACCCCGATCGCGCATTCTTTCGCGGGCGGGCGCTGGCGGTCGCAAAGGCGGGGAAAAAATCCGATCGCGAATTCCTCATCCTCCATGCACTAGACTTCTCATGCTCTTCCCATACACTTCTCATAGACTTTTCATACACTTCCCATAAACTTCTCATCGACAGGCGTTCGCCCGTACGTTTTCACGCATGCACCAGCCGATACTCGATTTTAGATGAGTTATACGCGATGATGAAATAAAGTTATCCTGGAAGTTAGAGGAGGTTTTTATTTCGCTTCTGCGCGAACTTTGCACCTTCTGCTAAAAAAAAAAACTGCACGACCGAAAAGCAAACGAGCGACCCGTTTTGCCTTGGAACGACCTGTTGCTCCTCTGCGGAAATTATTAGTTATCCAAAGTCATGGTCGGTTTATTGTTAATATATGTGTAACATATTCGAACTTTAATCACTTTTTGCTGAACTGCATAGTGTAATTCTTATTAATAATATAAATTTAAAATTAATAATTACCTACGGTACGGGTGGGACGGAATGCCACCTAAGAAGTAAATTATATTGTAAATAATTTAAATGGGATCGCCACACTTTATAAATGCGACACTGAAAATGAAGAGAAACAACAGCGTAATTAACTGAAAATTAGCGCAAATAATTAACCGCGGAGAAAAGGACTTTTCAATTAGTTCCGGAACTTTGCTGCCGAGCCTCGAAGATGCAGCTCGAGAGCAACACGAGAGCAACCATCTCGGATAACAAATGGCGCCTTGGATTAGACTCGAGAAAAATTTTTTTATATAATCGAGATAAACGAGGGAGGACGCGGAGAAATGCCTCAATTATTTCTGGAAGGATTTCGGCTGCATATAAAAGTATAAAAAAAATAATAAAAATATAAAAAAAGAAGCAAAAAAGTAATCTCTGACGTCATCGAGTCGCCATCTACCGGGGACAGCAATTACTACACGGAGACAACATCTTAACCGGCAGGTTATTTGCTGGTCGGCGCTTACAATCTCGAAAGAATCCGGATTTTAGTTAGTTACTTTCCAGCTGTTTCATTAAATGGCTGGATGAGGGCGAGCCTGGATGGTCGCCTGCTCCGCGGGTGCCTCGCAGCTTCTCACGGGATTCCATCTTTGAATACGTGACGCGGAAAAACGCCATTCCGAATTGTTTTAATCTAAGTTGAGGTCGAAAAAAAACCTTGCAGAGGGGTTTCGCCCCAATTCCCTCCGTTATTTTATTTATTATTTATTATTATTATACAATTTAATTTTTTTTTAATGTACTACTTATTTTCTTTGGAGGGGGGGGGGGGGGGGGGGGAAAAAACTCGTTTTTTCTGGGTTCCTTTCGTTTTCAATGGTGTTAATGCCACAGAAAAACAAACAGTTTTCCCTCTGTTCCATGTCAGGAGGAAGAATTCCAGCCCGTTACGCTAACCCGAAAACTCAATTTATTTCGTTGCATCAGCACGGTTGCGGCTCGGGGAAGGACCGCAAATGATGGATCCTTTCACTTGCGCAATTCGACGGCACGGAACGCGTCGCCGTTCCAACGCAGAAATGGGAAAATTCGCGAAAAGGAGATGAAAGTCGAAAAATAAGTGATGAAAGTCGAAAAATAAAATATGACAGGAGATTAAGGCAATTGAGTCCAGATCCGAAGAAATGATAAATTGGCACGGATAACCCGCCAAGTCAAATCCATTAAGCCAGTCGGTCTCATTCTCTAAATGAGTTTTTTTTTTTAATTTCATGGTCTGAATATTGCAGGGGCAAAATACAGCTTGCCCCCCCCGGGGAAACCATGGGGGCGATTGCCCCCTCTGCCCCCTCCTCACACCCCAGGGAATTTCATGTCTCGGTCCTCACCATTTAGCTGACAAAATCTCTGAAATCTAAATATAAAAAAAAAACATTCCAAATGGTATCCAATAATTTAAATGTAAATGAGAACGTAATGTCAAATTTCGCGGGCGAAATTGCTACAGCTGCTTCAAATATTCAAAACAACTCTTGAATGGCAAGTTTGACATCATTCGCTTTGGAAACATTTTCTCCCATCTTGTCTGCTCTGGGTGGGGGGAATTGGCCTTTGTCCAGCTTGCTTTTTTTCTTTCGAGCGAAGGGGCACATGCCCCCCTTGACCGCGGGGGGGAATGGGAGAAGCAAAAAGGGACCGAGGAAAGAGAAGAGAAACAGTTTACCCAGTTTCAGCGGAACGCTATGAGGCATTAAGGGGTGGGGATGGAGATGGCATCTGGCATGATGCCAGCGGAGATAGAGGGAGGGAGATTGAGATTACTCCCTCCCTGCAGTTTCGTCGAGGCATCATCCCCCTTTCTTTTCTGAATTTCTATCCTCGGCCTTGGAATGAATCATGGTGTATTTATGGTCTCTGCGCGGCGTAAAATACATGGCAGAAAGCAGGGGAAGGCATCGCGCAATACGCTCGAATGATCTGAGAGCAACGCCAAAAAATAAGTCTAGGATGCCTAAAAAAAAAAAAAAACACTCAATCACAAACAAAACCTCGGGCACCCGCTTTTCACGGACAGCAAAAAAAAAAAGCTGCATCTTCCACATCCAAAAGAAAATTCAGCAACTCAATTGGCAACATTTGCAAGGCCGCATGGTAATGTGAAGACAATTCACTTTCAATCGCATTTTTCACATCGAAATGAGAAAGAACTTTTGTTTCATTTGCACCAGGGTCTTTCCAGCATGGCTCACCCAAAAGGAGAAAAAAGTCACAATCTTTGATTTATCTCAGAAATCTGAGGTCTTTAAAAGGAGGTGAAGTCTTTGTGATTGGAGCTGCTGTGCATTTTTTTTTTTTAAATAACCAAATACAGGCGATAGAATTTTCTTCATGGCTTTTTCAGCCAGAAAATCTTTCGTAAATTACTGTCTGGGGAAATTGAGAGGGAAGCACTTCGAATGAGGTCTCATCTGAAAGGAGAGACCCAAGTGAGCTCTGAATAGGGCTTCTGCTTGAAGAGCAGTGGTGCCAACAATTAATATAATATCACAAATAAAACACTACCAGCATAACTTTTCCAGATATGTCTTTCTATGAGTCCTGCATTTTGCAAAATAATTTATGCTTGAAAAAAAATACTATGGCCTGTATTTTGAAATAAAAAAATCTGTGAATATTCACAGCCACTCTATTAAATAGACCAAATATCACAAAAACCAGAGGAATTGGAGTCAGTGCATGTAAAGCATTTTTTTTAAATGGGTGAATAGGGATGGAATGACCCACCATGAAAAAAAAAGCACTTAAAAGGAACTTCAAGCAATTCACCTATACATAAACAGACAATGAAGGCAGCACTAAAGGCTAGAGCACCTCGTTGCACAAGGGTACATTGAATCTCCTGCACCTCCTCTGTCAAAGAGGGCGTCCTGCACCATCTCACTCAATGGGATGATGGCACCAATTGCCTTACTACTACAGTCTTGATTTTTTTTGGAAAGCAAGAAAAAAATGCTACATGCTATTTAAAGGGGGAAAAAACATCACATCTGAAATAACATTCTTTGGTGCCAGATACTGAAAGAAATGTCACAGCTTAACTTATGCTCAATAAAGGAAAAGCAGGGCTCCAGGCTCCTTTCCTGTGAAAAACCTCAATTAAGAAACTGCCAAATTACTTCACTAGAAATTCATGGGCAAGTGAGGGGCAATTTCTGAGGTACTGAGGCTGGAAAGGGAGTTTGGAGGCCACTGACATTCCTTCTTGGCACACCACTCACTCATTGGGGGTCAAAAAAGCTAAGTGAATTTTTTTTTTTTTTTATAGAGGGAGGGGAAAACTTTACCCAAAACAACTCCCAACACAATCTTGCTCAGACATGCAAGACAAGAAAAGCTTCACCTCAATTTGCTCAGTGCCACATCTTTTAATGAGGACAAGTCTCATGGCAGAAGTGTCCTAGGCTTGGCTGAGGGAAGCTCAATTTCATCACACATATTTGGTACAGAGCAAACAGCAGAAAGACACAAGGAACAAGGATTCAGGAGGTTGAACTCTGGACCTCAAGGCAGAGTCAAGGATTTTCGGGAGTCGGCCTCCCCTCGGTCCCTGCGGGTGGAAGCTGGGTGAGGACGGAGCAGAATTCGGTGAGCAGCTCGTTGTTCTCCTGCAAGATCTGCCACAATTCAGCCTGGCCTGCACACAACTGATGCAACCTGGAGGAAGGAACAAGCAGCATACAGTGCCAAGTATCAGATTAAGGCATAAAAATGGATGGAAGAAGGAAACAAACCCGTGCGAGACGTTGCGTTTGAGCTCCTTCTTGCGAGCAGCATCCCCGTCCCGCTCGCCCTTCCGCTGAGCCTTGAGACTCTTTGCATGAGTGAGGATATGCTCCACCTGACTCAAATACTGGGTCTGAGCCTCATCCAAACTCTGGGACAATGCACCGCTCATCTCTTCCACGCTCTGCAGGTCCTTTCGAACCAACTCCGTCTGGACGAAGGTCGCCTGAGCCATTCTACGACACAAGAGTCACACGTACGCATAAAAGAAAACCCTAATTCTGTGGGATTTAAGAGCAGAGAAATGTCACTTGCACTCACTTGTACCAGTCGGCAAGACACTCGGCCATGACGTGGATGGTGGGGCTGCATTCTGAGTTGAGCAGAGCCTGCAGGGATTTGCTAGTCTCCTGCATTTTAATCTTCTCCAGCATATGGAATTGTTCATCATTGTAAGTGAGATCTACAGAAAACATTATTCAATCAGTTGTGATATGACCAGTTCTGGATTGTAACAAAGTAACTATAACAAGTTGCATGTTTTCCTTTGAAATCTGGCAACAATAACCAGAAATCAATCCTGAGTTTGCTAGGTGGTTCAAATTTGGAAAGATCTAATATTTTATAACTTAATGTTGATGTTCCTCTTTTATTCAATTAACAAAATCTCTGGCTCTTTCATATCCTTTGGAGAGACTTTAAATATTTTCAAAAGTGTCAAGGTCAGAAACTGCATGTACACCTAGGTATCAGTGCTTCACTTGCTGAGGGCAGCTAATTTAAAATATTTATGTCTCATTTCAGTTTTCTGACTTCTCTGGAAGGTTCTCACAGTCCAAGTGCTACATTAGCATGACATTGAATGTAAATAATAGCACTTCAAAAGCCCCTTTCCCAACACTGGATATGTAGTGAACAACATGAAAAAGATGGAAAGAGACTGACACTGAGACATACTTTTGGCAGCCTTATCTCTGAGAAGATGCTGCCAGGACTCTCGAAGCTTGGTGATGTAAGTGTGGGCTTTGTTGGCACACTTGGTGATATCCTTCATCCCTCGCGTCGCATCCAACCACTCCTTTTTCAGGGTCCCCTCTCCGACCACTCGACTGTACAGGTGGGAAGCGTGGGGCACCACCGCCTCTAACTGCTCCTTCACCTGTTTTACAAATGTTTCAAGGTCATCAACAAGGACATTGCAAAAATGAAACATGGTGTGCCAAGGATTGCTGCCCCCCCCCCCCCCCGTCTGTTCACATGATTGAAAAACATTGCACCATAGAAATGCAAGCAAATCTCTCCAGACGTCTTTCACACCACAAAGGGGCACTGCTTGCTCCCACTTTCTCCATGTTTTATCTTCTTTCATCAAAGACCCGTGCCAACATATCTACTTCCCCCACCTTCCACCCATTACTTCAGGCCTTCCCCAATACATTCTTCCAAAGTTCTACACAGTGGTCATATGCAAACAATCCCATCATCCTCCTTGAAACTAGAAGCACTCCATTTTTCCTGTAGCCCCAATGACTGCTGCAACCAGGGCTTTCAGACGGCTCATGAAGGCAGTTCACCAGGGCCATGCATGCTGGTCACACACTTTGTAAACTTTTGTTACCTTGATCCCATTTTAGAGAAAAAGGAAAGATAAAATCACTTCACCTGTATGCTAATGCCTAGCATGCAAAACCCTGTATAACCCTGCCGATTACATTTTATCGTTTCTACTGCCTGTTACAATAATAGTGAAGGATATGTTTGACACCAGAAAAGTCCACATAAGCAGCCTATAATTGAAACTTGGAAAAATAAAGCACCAAATTCATTGCGAAGCTGTTCCCAGCTCCACCTTTCCCCTTGACTTTACACATCACTATTGTAACCTCAGTTCTTACCCACTCACAAAGAGACTAGCAAAAAGAAAGCATGAACTTCAGGTCCATGGAATACCACTGGTTTGTACAAATACACAGGTTCATCCAATGAATGAATTAATTTGATGAATAATGACACATTTCACGCTAAACATCGACAGACGGTCGGAAAACGTACAGCAGCGGCACTGTGCTGTTTGTTGGAGATGAGGTCGGCCAAACGCCTCCGGGCATCGGAGACGTCGAGAGAGGAATTCTTGGAAGCTAGAGCATCCAGTGCAAGGAACAAGGAACTGTGGAAGGACACAAGCAATTCCAGTCTCTGGGTCTGGGAATGACTCAATTTCTGTGCTTCGTCACTCTTCCCTTTAGCCAAGCTCAGTTGCTCTGTTATCACAGACCTGGGAAAGGGGAAACATTAACGTTGATATCAGGAAATAGCAAAAAATAAAGGTAATTCTTTTTAAGTCGAGGGTCATGGGACCACGCACAGAAGCATGTTGACAGCTTCCTGCATGAGGTGTTGACAACGGGTGAGGCATTCCACAGATCGCTTGATCATGTGGCCTATGCTGCAGCTCAGTTTTGCCAACACTGCATCATTCTCCATCGACAACACACTCGGGAATGAAGGGAACTTGGCTGTGGAATGACAACAGGGTAAAATAATTACTCATCATAACTAACAGCAGTGATGTTTAACTGCTAGTATGCATACCAGCACTTGTACTTCTGATTCTTATCACTGGTACACAAGACATTTTGAAAAATTGCAAATATAAATAAATTAAAAAAATCTGTAGCCCAGATGACAAGCCATGAATTGTTTACTACTTCATTTGCATGACTTTTGATTATTTTGTGCTGGCACAATTTATTAATCTGGTGCAATTCAAGGGAAAGGATGAACACCACTGCTGTACAGAGCAAACTGGTAAGACAGATACACGTGGGTCACTCACGAATACTAGAATTGAGGTGAAGAGAAACATTGTTATTCTCTTCATTAAATAGAATGATGGGGGTATCCAGGGAAGTCGAGGGGTAGCTCTGGGATCGGGTCGTGACCCCGACCGATTCTTCGAATGGTTTTGATTCATACAACAAGATCTGACTGTTGGTGGGTATGTCGGTCTGTTCCAGGATGTGGAACTGCAGTTCACTCAGCCTACAAGAACAAGATCATGAGAAGGTGAAAAAAAAAAGGCCTGAAACAGGCACAACCCTCACTTGTCCTCGGGGTGAAGATACACCGTGAGACTCTGGAGACGATTAAGGTAGAAGATGTCCATCTTCTTCCTCAAGAGAATGTTGGTAACTTCCACAAAGAACTTATCAAAGTTCCACATCTTTTTGGGGTCCACTTCCAGGAGGCCTGCCAGCAAGGGTGTCACATATTTCTGCGCGCCCCTGTGATCGATTGCAAAATCCAGAAACAGTGAGAATCACCAATTAAATCAAATGCACCAAAGCACAACTTGGCCCTTGTGAGAGAGAAACCCTCCAGGAAGTAAGCCAAAAGATAATTGTTTTATCTGATCAGCCTCATGCATGGTTCCCCTTAGCTGCTCTGATATATCCTGGACCGTAATATCTTCTGCAAGTGGAAACCATAAAATGGCTTTCAGGGCAGATGGAAATCAAGCTGAATATGGTTAGTGATATGATTTCGTTGGAATTGTTTCGCAATTCTATGGCATTTAATTTTTTATTTATTAGAGGATAAATATCAAACATAGAAAGGGACAACTTCCCCTTAGAAACTGCTTGCTCTAAATTGAGCCAGGTATGGTGCATTATGAAATATGGGCAGCTTCATTGTTTGAACAAGAGGGACTAAAGAATTTCCATCTCATTACCAGATACAGGAAGCCTATTCTTTGGCAAACTAATGGCAATGTCCAAGAGCCTAATATTATCCTATTCCTTCGTTGTTCAGGCATGTTAATATATGGCATAGGCTATTCAAATGATTAAAAATGGTTTGGGTTGATGTTGGAGAGTCATGAGTAGTGATAACATCTTCATCTGACAGTGGTGGAGTTCTACAAACTTTGACCATTCATAAATGAGCTTCCCTCCAGCCTTGGGTTCATAGATTCACACGTAAATAGGGAAGCACTCCCTTGAAAATGTTCAGCTGGTTATAATGCCCTCTGCCCTCTTCTTAACCCATTGACGCTGGGAACCGTAATATTATGTTTTTAAACCTATAGTGTTCTGGAGTCGCTGGGCATGAATGTGTTAAGAGTAGACAGAAATTTTGTCCCATTCAATTCAACAGCAAGCTGCTACTTGTAATCCAATAGTACAGCATATGCCATATTTCAATATATCTGGAAAACTCAAACATTATATACATCAATGTATATGTAAAATAGAGAAATAAGATTAACAATACAAACATATGTGTAGAGTAGGTGGAAGAATTCCATTATTTCCAAGTATCAGCTGGAGATTTAAAAATATTACATAATCATAAATAATATTAACTTTGCACTGAAAACACCTTGCATAGTTCTGAAAGCAGATAAGGAATAGGAATTTTAGGTGATAACTCACATAGAAAGAGGGCACCCCTCAGGCAGGTTGCGACTCCACTCGATGGGCCCGTTCTCGGACATCTGGACACCAGAGATCACACCTGATGCCTTCTCGGTCGTGATGTAATACATGGTCTCCTTGTTTCGGCGGCCCCCAAATGGGCGGAAGGGCAACTGCCCTGTTGCCACATGAAACAGCGTCACCCCTATGGACCACAAGTCGACGGTCGCCCCAAAAGTCTTGCCGACGGGCTTCCTCAACACGGCACGTTCGTACATGTCGGGATGCTGGTGGATGAAAGAAAAAGTTTGGCTTAACGTTACAATGCACTCATCATAGAAGATCCAGCCATGTGGCATGCTCAATTCCATGAAAAACCAAGAGATGAAATGATTGCAATGATGCCATCTTACCAAGTATTCTTCAGTTCCATATAGAGACATGAACTGCTGATCGTCATCCAATTCCCTTGCTGCACCGAAATCGGTCAGCTTATAGATGGTGCTGCCATCGGCAGCAATGAACTTCATGATGTTCCCAGGCTTCAGGTCTCGGTGAACGAGATTGTTATCTCGCAAGTGCTTCATTCCCTCAGCTGCATGATGAATGAGGAGGTTTAAAGATAATGTGCAAATTTTGAGTCTTACATATAAATACACATATAGATATGTGGATGAGAAAGGTTTCATAATTGGAATGTATGTTAGCTAAACTTGAATATGAACTCAAGGAAATTATGTGCATCACAACATACAGAGGTGAGAAAGGACCAGGAGAAATTCTTTCTCCTCTAGGCCATAAGTATTCTCTGGATCATCTAAAATGTTGAATAAGCTTCCACCGGTGCATAGTTCCATGACAATCACTTTCCCCCTTCCCTCCAACTGTAATGGATACAAAAATAAAGTTTCAAATTTGATGAAATCTAAAATTAGAATGCTTTTTTAAAAATCAGAAGCAACCCACTTCTTCCTCAATTGCAAGGAGCTTAACAATGTTTTCATGTTTGACCTTGCGCAAGACTTCAAACTCTCGCATCTGGACCTCTTGTGGCCGCATGTGGCTCAATTGATTGAAGGTTTTCACTGCTACTGCTTCTCCTGTATGCTGCAAGAGAGACATAAGGTCATTTGCAAAAATGACTCTGCAATTCAGTCAAGAGCAAATGCTCCTGGGTCATGAATTCCCTGCTAGAGCCAATGAAGTGAAACGGTTTATCCCATGGCAGAGCAATAGTGCCTGGGTCCCATCAAAAAGCCCATTATACTTGAAAAACTGATATGCAACAGGGCAACTCCTCATAAAAGAGCTATACCTAAGTCTTCCATTCCTCTAACAGCTTACTCAGTAAGTAAGGCACAATTTGTGACTGTGACTGTTCCCAAACAAAATGAACTCGCTTCGTGAATCCCAAAACCAGGTTGACCCAGTTATATATTCTTAGGATGAATTATCCATGTATCTATTCTTGGTTGGCTACTTCTTGAATCGTTTCCACAATGCATAAACGAAGATTTTGAATGTCATTCGAGTTGTGGATGATGTGAATGCCGATTGACCCAACAGTTACGCCTAAAAAGAGAGCAGACGATTCTCTCTCCTGAAAGGACATCTCAGGTGAGGGAAATTCAAAACTCTTAGCCGGGCTGCGGTGGGGTGGGTATATTCTGACACCCTGTCTGGTTTAAATTTTTCCTCCTAACTACTTGAAATTGATAGTTTTGGGATCAATGCCATTTCAAAAAAAAAATGTGCACAATGTCCATTGGTGTTTTGAGACCAGACATTGGTATAATCCTGCTGAAAACTGTTGTTTGAATTTCTTATTACACTGAATTATGTAATGTGGGGGAAGGCATCATAGCAGGGTCAGAATTTGTCTCATCTACCCTAGTATGTCAATTCACAGACAGCCATAGGAAGACAAATAGACCAAGCATGATAGGAACCTATATTTACATTTAGCTTCAATGAACATTAATCAGACTACGAAGGAGAACCTGAAAACAAAATGGGAGGGAAATATATAAAAAAAATTTTAAAAATAAATTCCCATCATAAGCTCTCATGGAAATCCAATCTTCTGAGTTCCTATTAATCCCACCTAAGCCAGGTTAATGCAAACAGACTCAGCTGGCTTTGGTTACAGGCATACGACCAGTTACCTAAAAGCGGAATTCAATTCGGTCGTTTGACTATGCCCCATGCGAATGCCAGTCTCTTGCTGGGGCAGTAAAACTTCATCCTATGCAGATGAATACATAGAATAGAAAAATCGTTTCCTGGCTTACTCCAAGTCCCTTCTTTAAAAGGTTCAGCTTTGGATTACTGCCAAAATGCTTTATTTTTCTCTCTTTTCGTCCCACCCCCTTTCTTTCACATGTAATCATTATCTTGTCAACCAATTCGATTGGTAACCACTGCTTCATAAGGTAGAGCAAGCTTCATTTCCAATAATTTTGCCAGCGCTATAGAACAGTTGGAAATTCGGCAAGGAGCTCAATTACTCTGCTGACCATTAGTCACCCAAGGCATCACACCAACCACATCTTATCCTTGATCGATGGAAAGCCATCAGGATGGATTGAGATGAGAATATGCAATTGTGAGCTTGAGTGTGCACTGACTTTCTCCCACTCTGGTTGGCTAGCCACGAGATAACATTTAGAAACTATACTCTTTTACTCCATACAATCGTTAAGGCTAAGATGAAGGTTGAGATTAAGGCTAAGACAAATCCAGATGATAATCCAATCCCCTCTCACCTTGTTGACCCCCTGGTACACGGCACCGGTGGCCCCCTTCCCCAGCACACTCGTGGTGCACCACACGTAATTCGTCGAGCCTCGAAGGAACGACATGGCTCGCGTCGATCGACTCTTCCCTAGGCCAGGGCCTGGCCCGGAATGGAAACCAAAGGAACGTCCACCAAACGCCACTTCGTCACGCTCCCCTGGGCATGGTCACCGGGGCGACGCCATACTTTCACTCGCGAAGCGCATGCTCCGGTTTTGACATCCTTCGACACGCCCATCCTCCTTCCATCCTTCCTCCATCCTTCCTCCATCATTCCTCCATCATTCCTCCCTCCATCATTCCTCCCTCAATCTATCCAATTAAACGAGGCGATAGGAACGGTCGGGTTAGAACGGGGACGCGCACTGGATTTCCTTCGGAGGCGCTTCCTGGTTGGGGATTTAATAAATAACTAATTTAAATTACTCATAAATAAATTTCCGGCTCGGCGTTCGAGAGATTTCGTTGGATGGAGAAATTGGCTCCTCGATCGATTTCGCGAAAATTAAGCCTGGAGCAAAATCATAAGCGGACGTCGTAAATTAGCTGAATGAATAAAATATTAAGCAATCTTTCCGTGAGCGCAAAAAATGTAGGAAAAAAATATTTTAAATTACTCAGGAAGAAAATAATATACGAGGCTGTCGGTGAAAATCTCATTTCCACATCACAAAAAAAAAGAAAACAAAGGAAGTGAAAGAATGGTTTTCGCTTCTTCCATTGCGAAATCTTTGCGTCCTTTTTTTTTTTTACTTCTGGAGTTTTATTTATTTATTCATTTTTTGCCTGGAGCAGACTGCGGAAAGATTCGCGATTTCGACCGAAAGCCGGTCGAAAGGAGGATCCGTCGATGAATCGGCACGGAGCCGATACGTATCGGCCCTCTAACGGTCCCAACTGGGATGAAAGAAAAAAGAAAAAAAGAGAGAAAAAAAGAGGAGAAAAAGAGAAAAAGAAAAGAGGAGAAAAAAATTTTTGACGTCGAATACGCCGTTAGAGGAATTTTCTTTGAAGACGGCCGTCCGCTGAAGCATGACAGGTCAAGAGCAATCGGTAAAAAAAATTTTATTTTTTAATTTTTAATTTAAATTTTTTACTTTTTTAAATGAAAATCGCGAACGGCGCCAAAGATCGGTCGAAAAACCTTGAGATCGAAACGGCCCAAAGCATGTCGAAATAATTATGCATAATTAAGTACAGGGACAGCCCTAGCTATTTCGGCGCCCAGAAGAGAGACGGCTAGATCCCCCCAGCGTCCAAATGACGCCGAAAAAAAAGGCATTTTCACTTTCTGAAGTAAACTGAGGATGGCATCCAATACTGCTTCGTAAAAACGTTTTGGCGCCCCTGCTGAATTTGCCCCATGTACGGGGACACATGCTAAGGCCGGCCCTGATTGAGTGATGCGTGGATGTTGCCCCTCGGAGCGCAGGCACTCAGTCGTGGCTTGTGCCCGCTGAGGACGGTTCGAGATGCGACGTTGTCGGTTCACGAGCGGATTTTCAGGTGAGCGAGGGCGAGTTTCCCTTTAAATGGCTTTTTAATCGGCCTCGCTGGCTCGTTGTCCTCTCTCGTGCAGCTTAGGCCTAAGCGGTCGCAGTTCGTAGGCCGTCGGAGTCGATTCGCGCTACGTCCAGGCTCGACCGTGAAGGCCATCTGCGGCAAAACCACGATGTAAAAGCCACGATCTGAAAGCCACGATGATATGACAACATCGCACTGAGGAAGTCGTTTGCGGCAAGGCCTCGGCCTCGCCGTCACGTACGAGGCCCGTGGGTTCGGGATCTTTGAGCCCGGGCGGCCTTGAGTCTCCTGTTACCATCTCGGACAGATCCTGTTCCTAGGCGGATCCCGTTCTCTTCCGTCTTCCGTAGGCCAGACCGAGGCCTACGTCTGCCTCAGTTTGCAGTGGCAATCGGGGGAGTGAGTTAGGCCCTCGTTCTCCAACGTCATTCAGTTCAGTTCGAAGAAAATGGAAGGAATTTTAAATAATTAATTGCGTCGAATACTTTTAAGGATTTCTCGGAAGTATTTTTTTTTTGTTAAAGGATTTGAGAATGCATCCGTTCATGCATCGCCGGCCAACCGTCACTCGACCCCAGCGCAGTGTCGATCGCTTTCAGGAAATGAGAAAAGGCAGTGGCAAGTTTACCCATGAATTTCTCACGAAAGGGCCTGTGACGTTCCATGAATCTAAATCAACCCGTCTCGGTTTCCTCAGGTTTCCAGCAAAATTAGTTGAAACCCATCCTATTGCTCATTACTCTATGCCTGTCAGAAACTCAAATGTTACATTTGAGACTCAAATTGATCTGAAACTGGCAACATTTGAAATGAGTACAATTAAGAGCATTTCATGTTTTTGTGCTTTTCTCATGGAAGCCCTGGGGGCACTGTTAAGTTAGCTGCAGTTACTTTCCAGTTCAGTCAGTTTCAGATCTGGTAGGTTCCCCGTAGCCAAGTTGTGTTCATATTTCATTAATGTTGGTGCTCTAGACCTCCTGAGGCAATGAAGCTTATTATTATGCTTCCCATGGCGTGTTATCATGCCCAATACATGAATCGTTTGCCCTGCAATATTGTGCCACCTGGTAGAGGAGCAGTTGCAGGCCTGAGATTGTCATGAGAAATAGTAGGTCTGAGATCTGCCATGAGACCTTGGTACTTCCTGTACCAGTGAAGACCCGGAGAGATGAATTAAAATTTTCAATCATTAAATTTTGTATGTTTTCCATGTGGACTTTATAGTAATCTTGGTGAAGCCTAAACATGGTCCATTTTATATGCCTAATAACCAATTGGGAAGGTTTCCTAGACCTTTGGCGAGGGTGAATTTAATTTCACCTGAGTTCCAGAAGTTCAAATAGGAAATTGTGAAAGGTTATGGGACGAGGAATTGCGCGCTAGTGGATTTGGAGTTGGCTTTTGCATTTCAACCTTTGCTTCATATGAAAATCAATCAGGATTAGTAACTTATCTATTAGGGTTTGTAATCGATGGCAATGATCTGAATTTTGTAGAATGTTGAAAGTATAAAAGCCAATGCTTCCAAAACAATGTAGGTGTTACCTTTACTACATTCATGATTGAGGATTAAAATTAGGCATCCTTATTTATTACAGGCCATATTTCCCAACATGGTTCTGAAAGCTTTAAGCCAACATGTGAACATGAAGACATCTGTATAACTGTAGAGATTTTCTCCTATTAAAAAAAATGGAGGTGTACTGAAAAAATACAGAGGCTGAGTTTAAGAATCAGGAATTGTGACTGATGAACTATGAGGTGTTATGATTCCTGATCATAGAAGCAGTGGACTTGAAGCAAGGTTGGACTGTGCTTTTTCTGGTTTCCGCTTTATACATTATAGAGCTTAAGCAGAGGATTCTTCATTGGCAATCTCTTACATTTTTTATTAGGTCCTATCTTATATATTTGTATGTATTTATTTACAATGTGCTAATCTGGGGCTCTTTGGATGTTCCCTGCTGTTAAGATTGTAAGAATTTGTCATCATAGTAAAAGATCTTTGTATGCTGTTTCATGGACACTGTTCCTCATTACCAACAGGATTTGCTTGTTAATGAAGTTCCTTGTTACGGGAAGGAGATGGCCTTGAATCTGTTGTTCATGGTAGCTTGTGACCAGGCACAGATGTCCCATTTATTATGTTTCTCAAAAAGACTTGCAACTTGTGCAGGCAACCATGCAACAGACTATCACCAAAGTCAATTTTTAGAATTTTGCATCATCAGCAGCAATGGTAATTGTGGCAGTGCCCCTTTGTGGTCTGAACGACTAAATGACAGTTATTTATTATTGGTTTGTTTCAGAAAAGCTGAATATGCCAATAGATTGGCATCATGGGCAGTGTGGAACATCCTTCCTCACTGATGCCAGAGCTCTTCAGTGTGATTTTAGAGAGTGATGATGCTATGCTGAGGCATCGAAAGTTGAGCCTTTCAGCTCCACATCAAGAGACAATAGACAATATGGTTCCCAAAATCTCCGATTCCAAGAATTCGACTGCCGAGGACGATTCCATGGATGACAGCCCCATGTCGGCCGAAGAAACCCCTCTTGTGGGCCCCGAAATGAAACACTCCAGCATTGACATGAGGACCAATCTGGAATATGGGTCTCTTATTGTGAAGGATGATGAAGATGAGACCTTCCTCTCGATCGCTTCACAAGTGTGTCTTCCGTTTTTCATAGCAGGTCTTGGCATGGTTGGTGCTGGAATGCTGCTTGATGTCGTGCAGGTGCGTTGCGATACCGTCAAAGATCTGATTTTTGGGGGCTTCGTTTATGGGTTCTGTTTCAATAATCATGTTGATGTTTCAGCATTGGGAAGTGTTCATGAGTGTTCCAGAACTCTTCATCATGGTGCCATCCTTGCTGGGCTTGAAAGGTAATCTCGAGATGACTCTGGCCTCTCGCCTGTCAACTCACGCCCACCTGGGGAACCTGGATTCCCGAAGGGACCGGCTCGAGATGTCCTTTGCAAATTTGGCACTCATCCAGGTAGGTCTCTCTCATCCGAGTCAACTTTGATGACGATCCATCATGATGTGATGTTCTGTTCCCCTCCTAGTGTCAAGCAATCGTGGTGGGTTTGCTCTCGGCTTTAGCAGCTGTGATAATGGGTTGGATTCCTGATGGGGAATTCAGTCTGAGTCATGCGCTTTTCCTCGGTGCTAGTGCCCTTCTTACTGCATCTCTAGCCAGCTTCATTCTCGGTTAGATCTGTTGATGGTCCCCAGTAGCCCAACAGCGGTGCCGGTGCGGCATCGGATGTTGGTCTCTCTCTCTTAGTTGTGTGAATGTGGATGCTGATGGTTATTTTCCTCCTGACAGGTGTGGTGATGATATTGGTAGTGATCATATCCAGAGACTGTGGTATCAATCCCGACAACATTGCGACACCGATTGCTGCAAGTTTGGGAGATCTTACAACGCTTACGCTACTTGCTGGTGTCACCAGCTTCCTTTATAAGGGTAACTTCCTCTATCTGAAGCTCTGCTTTTTGTATGAGAAAAAGAAAAAAAAGATTTTATTTTCTCATTATTCACAAGTGCATTTTCATACATCTAGCATTTTGTCGTAAGTTACCTTTTTGCTATACTTGACAGAGGTTTACATTGAACCAAGAACAACTTGTGCATTCAGGTTCACCTGTCTAGCTCTTAAAAAAGGGAGGTGGGATTTTTGCTGAGGCACTGACACTCAGTCTGGGAGGATTTTTTTACATTCCATATGTTAGAACATCTTGTTATCTATATTGGTATGAGAAATGTGGGACTGTGAGATATGAAGCCTTAAACTGAACCAGAGTGCTTCTGCATTTGTCTTTGGCTGGTCTCTTTCAGAAAATTGATGACTTATGAAAACAAATTCTTTATAAAGCATAATAAAGAAAGTCAGAAGTGTAGTTTTTCCTAAGAAAAAGTAAAATTAGTTAGTGCAGGCAACCCTCAACTTTATATAGTGATCAAGTGCCTTTACTCACCTGAAACATCATGTGGAGATTTCTGTGAAAGGTAATCATTTTTCTGAAAATTATTATTGAAATAATAAATTATGTGTCTCTTACAGATAAAATTTAAAAACATTTCAGAGATAATTTTTGTTTTGTATGCTGGTTGAGGCATGTATTACAGAACTTTGAAAAATTTGTGTTCCACAGAAAGGTGGTGGTATTTGAGCCCAACAACTATAGGGATTCTTCTTCTGTCAATCCCTTTGTGGGTGTACATTGCAGGGCGTAACCCACACACCAAAGTTGTTCTTCAGACCGGCTGGACGCCTGTCATCTCTGCCATGGTTATTTCCAGGTGGGCTTAGTTTGTCTGCAATTCTCATTCCTTGCATTGCCCATGACAATGAAAATGGATACAATTCCCTCTCTGGACTGTGTTTCCTGCAGTGCCGGTGGTCTGATCCTGGAGGCAGCCCTCGGATCGTATCGGGGAATAGCCGTGTTCCAGCCCGTCATCAACGGGGCGGGAGGGAACCTGGTGGCCGTGCAGGCCAGCCGCCTCTCTACGTTCTTTCATCGCAACTTCCAGCTCGGTCAACTTCCAGCTCATCTCCAACAGTGCTGCTTCAATCCCTTACATATTTATTTTGGGCGTGGTGAGTGGTTTTCATCATTGCTTCACTCTGTTGACTGCCTGTACTCTGTAGATGGCCTCTCTTTTTTGCTGTCATTATTTTGATGATGACTTGGCATTTCATAGCTTGCTATGAAATCTAGCTTGAGGATATAGATGTCAGAAGGTTTTCTGGAATTCAGGAGGATTCAGAATCTACCTAGGGAGTGACAGGATTTTGCTAAACCCATGGATTTAGCAAAATCATCCAGAAATCCTCCAACATGTCACCTCCGCCTAGGGGGATTCCAAATCACCTGGATTCGTTGCCAATGCTTGCATCATTTTGTTTACCTCTAGGGAGTAAGGGTATCACCCAGGGGAAATGGAATTTCATTTCAGTCCCTGTATAGTACGAAAAAAGTCAATAAGGTTCAAAGCAGGTTCAATCGACAATATACCTGTCTCATTTTGGGAGGTCGCACGGTTTTCCCCCGCAACACTTGGATGAGCGTGTTATGCCTAGTTTTTTACACCTGCATTCTGTTGGTAAAGGCTGCTTGCACTTGCAGAGGGATCCTGCACCCCCACTGGCATAGCTTGTTTCTGCCCTCAAAGCCTACACCAAGAACACATTTATACCATTAGGCACCTCCTCTGCTTGCTCATCAGTTGCCTTTACCTAACTGTTCCAGCAGGAAGGACGAGTCGATTACGCCAATGGGAGCCCCCAAAAACACCTTGCCGCCTTCTTGCATTACCACTCTCGCCTGCAGGTTCTGGGGACATGTATTACTTCTGTCCATTCTTGGGATGCAGGGCAGTACGTGATTGTCAACTTGACCTAACAGCTCTTTCTTTGTTAGTGGCAGACAGAAGCAGGCCTGGTATTCTTCAGCCTTAAATAATCCATTAACACAAATGAAAGGAGAATTGCCCTCAGTGGGACAAGCTGTGGGAAAGGCAATTTTTGAGCCAGGGAGATACAGAATCTCTCTAAGGTGTAGTGACATTGACATGACTTTGAGAGAATTTCACTCAACCCGTGGGTTTCATGAAATTCTGTCTCTCCTTAGGGAGATTTGAATTCCCCCTGAATTCCACAAAACACTATTACATATATGCCCATTTGGAAAGGTGATATTTGTTTTTGGTGAAGTTTGTGCAGAAAGTTGCTTCCAAATTTGGTCAGTCATCAGAATATGCAATTTCTGATTCATTGTTGGTTGGGATTCAGGATTGCCAACATTTCCCTTTTTGGTAAGATGTGCTGAGGGTGCCAGACAACCTAGAGAAGGGTGTTCGATCTTGATACATTTCCTTTCTGAGGACATCTTGGGTCATGTGTAATCTAACACTCACCTTGAGACTTGCATGTGGGTCCCAGCCAGGGATAACTTTAATTTGTCACAGTTTCAGAACCAAGGGCTATATGCTCTGTAGGCTCCATGGGCACCTTAAATATGGATTTCTGAAGGGTGAGTACTACCAGTGAGTCTTAGGGTATGAGATTTATAACCAGTGTTCTGTCCATCCTCTATGCCATATGGATGGAGCAGAACTGACTCACAAAGTAGGTTAAGTGTATGGGCATGAGTCATGTCCTTATTATGATATGGATAGAAAATTCATCAATTTTGCTCCTCAATCAGAAGTGGGTGATTGACTGAGTTTACCGTGTGGGAATGGATGCTGCGCATTGATATCCCACTTCTTTCTCTGTTCTTGTTCTTCTTCCACTCCCCCTTGGCCATGCCCGTAACCATCTGTCACTTGTTCCCTTTGCTGACCCATGTACTACCCACCATCCTTCCCCCTCCCACTTCAAGACAAATTGAGCAATGCAGTGTTGACATTTGGCAAATCAGCAGGTTTTTGTAAATTCATGTTTTAAGTATAAATATATTGGTCATGGGAAATCGCTTGAAGTGATCAAGATTCAGAATGTAAATGTAAATTTTTTTCTGATACCCGTATTATGGTGCCTGATTCCTAAACAAGTAAAATTAATTCAACTGTGTTCTGTTTTTTGTCAGGTGTTCATGCCAAGACCGTGCGAGTCCTACTATTATTTGTCATCCCTGGTCATTTGGCATTTGCATTCACAATTGCCTTGGTGAAGGCAGGTCACACGACTGTAACTCCCATGTTCATTGTCTTCTACCTCCTTGCTGCCTTCATACAGGTAAGAAATCAGTTGTAATTGTTGGAGTATTTTTTCACATGATCAGTCATTAAGGTAACTGTTGAGCTTGGTCTTTTCCTGGTTTAGGTGGCCCTGTTGCTGTTCATCGGGCACTTGTTGCTGCACGCGATGTGGCGTGCGGCCATCGACCCCGACAATTCGGCCATCCCGTATCTGACCGCCCTGGGAGACCTCCTCGGAACCGGACTCCTGGCCGTCGCCTTCCACGTCCTGTATCTTCTTGGGGACAGGGACAGTGATGTTGGAGACTGAACTTTTCCAAAGGCTTATTCCAAAGCTTTTTTAATTTTGATTTTCAAATCTCAGGGCACATATCCAAAGTGCATCCACCACTGTGCTCCGGCCCGTTACGATTCTCTGAATTTTGATATCCATGCAAAGGCTTATGTCTTTCTTTGATTTGCAGTGTATATGTGAGTGTTTCTCAAAACTTTTTCCATGTTTCGGTTTTGATCTAGAAAGACTGGCAATATGTAATTTATGTTGGTACTGGTGTGGTTTTTTCCCCGTGATTGTTTGCAGGCAGCAATGCCCTCAAGTTTGGTAACAGTGTGTTGGATTGGTTTGTTTCATTCACATCTTTTCTGCATTCCATGATTGTGTACTTTCTTGGAAATTCCTTTCTAAAATTCTTTTCAAGTAATTCAGCAAAGACCCTGTGATGAAAGAAACAATTATAGTCAGATTTTTTTGGGACAAGAGTCCTGGTACCATACAGACCTGCCAGTTTTACCTTCGCATGTGCAAGACAATATACCTGCTTCCTTTTGAAATGTTTTTAATAAGTCATGGAAGTTCAATACAAAAAAAAATATAAAAAATACTCATCTCTTATCCTTAGGTTAGACCTAGTTTGGTATGCAGCGATCTTCATATCATGATGAATACTCTTATTTTTTCTCTTGGTTTAAAGCTTTCCAGTGCTTCGCCTGCATTTTGTCATTACGGCACAGAATTTTATCATATAAAAGTACAGGAGAGTAAATAGGTGCCTTTTACAAGCAGTTGCCTTGAAAGAGTGCCTAATTGCCTCCAGAAAATGTTGTGGCATTGATGGAATTACTGGTGATGGGATGGATTCAGTGATAGTGTGCTTTTGGGAATGTATGGTGCTCTTGTGATGGATTTTTTTTTTTTATTTTATGACCAAGAAAAATTTCAGTTCCACGTCTGTATCGTCTTGTCGCGCGCGTGCGCTGAGGAATCTTTAAGATGAGGCATTGCAATGCTTTCCATGATATTCTCTGAAAACGACAAGAATTCAGATAATAAAAGGAGTGATCCTGTCCTCAAATTGGGTAAAACCCCTTCATAGTGAAATAGGATGCAGGGGAATTTTCAGGTTTGCCCCCAGTTGAATTTCCATATATTTTGAGCAAAATCCCTTTGAAAATGATCCCCCTTAAAATAAATTTCAAATAATTTGCCTATTTGATATGATGGGGTTTTACTGTAATTGTTTCCTTGAACACCGAGGCCCAAATCCAGAAACCCTATTTAGACGAGGTAAATTTTTGTCCTTGAAGGCAAAGAGCCTCATTTTCCCCCCAAAAAGAGTTCACGGATTCATAAAGGACCATTACCTAACTTACCTTTGGTCGATTTGCATCATGGCTTCTCATAACCGTTTTTCAGGTCTGTGATTTGTATTCCAACGTTAATTCCTTATCTCACGTTTCATCTCGTTGAATGCCACTTTTTAAAATTGGAGAAAGTGGTGCTAAAATAAACCTTATAAACCTTGCTCCTCTTTGCCACCAAACAAGCTGAAAACACCAAGGATAGGGAATCCGTGCAACGACCGCTGCTGGCTACAGAAGTGATTTGCTTGAGAATTCGTGCAAGGGCGTATATATCCCGAAAATCTCCTTGGCCCTCCCGTTTTCTCATGCAAGGCCAGTTCCCCCCCCCTCCTCTACAAAGAAGTTCCAAAGCTTGTAAATTACTTGAAGCATTGGTGAAATGTTAATTTCATGAATCGATTCTGAATGCCATCCCTTCCACAGCGACGTACTTCGGACAAGGTTGCAAACCCTTGAAAAATATTTTTTTTTTCACGTTCCCATCTTCCACCTCTATCTCAGCCCGTCTGAAAAAAAATTTCACCCATGGCATTCATCACCTTTCATGAAGCATGCATTTCCTCCTCGTTTTTGGCACGGTTCCCAAGGCAAACAAGAGTACAGACCTTGAATTATTTTTGTTTTTATTTTTATTTTTATTTTTAAAGCTGCGCATGGCGTAGGTTTCATCTGAGAAAACCCTGCAAAGGGACGAGGAAATTAATTTGATTAGTCCGGAAGCAGCTTTCGGTGTAAATATCCAACTTTATACAGAAATTTATTAAACATTAAATTGAAAGCAATTAATTATAATTTAAAAAACGGGATGGATAATTCAGTGAAGCCAGGTGAACGGGCCCAAAAATTTCGAGGACCGATTTGGGCTCTTCCGGGAACCCATTATAAGTTGTGTGGAGCCATGTAGAATTAACATTTAAATATATATATATTAATTTAATCGGCCGCACGAAATACTTTTGTAAGACGAAATTTTAGCAACTGCTGAGGCTGATTTTTTTTTAATGTTTTGTTTTATGTCGGCCTCGATTTAATTTCATCCTTCGGGGGGTTATCATACGCGATATTATTATTGTATATCACTTTATTTTATTGGGCAATAACTTTTGTCTGATTTTAAAAAGTTTCCATTGTCCTAAAGTCCTGGAGAGGACAAAGTCACGATATAAATATTTGTGGCGTGGTAAATTATTGCTCTTTTCGTTTATTTCTATATGAATTGAAAAATTTGAAAATCGTTGCAGGAAGTTCCTCGAAGCGATCTTCAAGGCAGTTGATTCCAGCTTGACGCTCCACGGTCGATTTGGGTCCTGCCTCCCTCTCCAGCCTCCCTCGCCAGCCTCCCTCTGGAAACTTCTCCCAGCTGCCAAGACCATGTTGGCCCAACTGGAAGTCTAATCGTCCTCGGAAGATCTGTGGTGAGTCGGTTACAATCTCGTTATCGACCGAGATTGAGAACGTTTGGGGCCGATGAGTCCTCGGCCCGATCGGCCCACATGCCGAATTTTCGTTTTTCTCAATATTAAAAACATCGAGTGCCAGGACATTCCTGTTAGTTTTTCCCAGGCATTCACGGGAATCCCAATTTACCAACAAATTTGCTTCGCTGAGAAATTAACCGATCCAAATAAGAATAGCATTTAGCACTCAATGCTGCGCTCGATGGGCGACATCGCCGACCGACATGGCTTCGCCGACCGACATGGCTTCGCCGACTGACATGGCTTCGCCGGCCGACATCGAAGAGAAGTCGGAAATCCTCTTACTTTCCGATCCTCTCGACAACCTTTCTCCGTATCGATCCGTCCAATCACCTCGAAACTTTCCTCGATCTTCTCGGACCCCATGAGGAACTCCTATTCCAAATTCCCTTCATAAACTCCTTCTCCCCCCTTCTCCCCCCTTCATATCATACGTCCTTGAGATATTTTGATCGATTTCATGACGCAGGGTTTGGAGTTTGTCAATGGGAATCGCTATGTCCAAGATGAGAGAAATTGACAGAAAGACGGTGCCTCCCACCTTCCACCCTCCCACCTTCCACCCTCCATCCTCCCTCCGCCTACCTCTCTCCCTCCCCCCACCTCTATAGTTCTCTAACGTTTAAATCTTCCACGAAACTTTTATTTATTTATTATAATTAAAAATTTGAGTTTGAGATTAGTAACGCTATCTATATTATGCTATTAGTAATGCTATTTGCATCACTATTTGTAATGCTATTTAAAGCACGGAACGGAAGAATAGATGCCTCCCTCCACCCAGCACCATCTTCGCGTCTCCACACCCAAACGCCATCGACTCAAGGTCCTCGAAAAGGCCAGCTTTCCTCGCCAGCGACCACGTGGGCGAAAACCACGTGACTTGAACTCGCGAGAGACATCTATCGGCAGTCGAGCGAGACTTCCCGGATCTCCAGTGCTGCCGGGCGACCGGTTTAAACGATACGAAGTACTCATGCTGGGAGTACTGGGAAGTACTTACAGAGTACTTCCAGTGAGGGACAGAATTGGGCCTCGGCGAGAAAATACATTCGAAGGGCGCCCGCGACTTCCAAGGAATAATTAAAATAAAAATAATTAAAATTACGGATTCTATTTGTTTCAGCGCTGTTACCTCGAATGATCCTGGAAATATATATATATATATATATATATAAATTATTATAATGTAATAATGATGGTATTTTGATGATGATAATCTGAGCAAAATTCTGGCGAATGGCCAGCGTCCTTCAGAATTCCGTTACATACCATATAGTATAGCCGGAATATGTGATATGGTATGGTTATAATTATTAATTAACTTAATTAGCTTAATTATGAAACGGGACGCTGAATTGTAGCTGCCAATCGCTTGAGTTCAGGAAGGCGGGATTCCGCTGGATCCGTTCGCGGCCTCCGCGTCTTCCCTCGTCCGCAGTCTCCCGCAGGCGGGGAGGATGTCGGAGTGGACGGCGGAGGAGTGCCTCCTCGCGGATGCGGATTTGATTCCGCGGGAATCCGTGCAAGTACGATCGTATTGCGAAAGCTGCGTATTCCTTTCATTCAACTCCGGCCGTTTTTCTCTCCTCTCAATCAGTCCTGCTAGGCCTATATGGAACACGAAGTACACGCGGATGGAATATAACTCATGTAAAGACAAAATTTTAGGAAAGAGAACATATTTATGTCAGTTCCCGTGTGCTGCTGTTCTGATGTGGAAGATTAGAAAAAACCTTCCGCGATTTCCCTTTCGTCCAGTTTCCTTCTTCCTGGTAGAAGCGAATCACGATGGTGCTCAAATTCAGAGCCACGAGAGAATAGTAATTCAATTACTATTCAATTACTATTCAATTACAATAGTAATTCAATAGTAATTTTTTTTTCTGCGCGTTGTAGCCCTTGGAATGTTGCGACCACATCGCACGCGAGATGGGAACACGCTCGATCTTTTATGGAACTTGCGGGAAAAAAAAGGAAGTTCCGCGGCCGGTGGTTGTAGAGGGGAATCGGCTGGACTCGCCTTTGTCGAGACGCGTTTCCGGTCGGATCAAGCGAGAGAAAGAGGCGATAATTTCCCCCTATGAGAGGCGAGGGTGGAGGGAAGGGAGAGCTAAAAATTCTTTCGAGTCGGTGCGACGTGAAAGGAAGAAAGAGAAGAGGAGGAACTGGGCTCAACCGCCTCTTCCGGAAGGGGGATTGGGGAATTCGCACTTCTCGAGAATGGGGAATCGGCTGGGATCGCGCTTCTGGGATCGGGCGGGGGGGAGGGGCTTAGAAGAGGAGGGGGCGGGGCTTGGAAGGCGAGGACCAATCGGAGGAGAGCGGGCGGCCGGTGTCTCCGGGGACGCAGAGGACCGTCACGATTACCAGGCAATAAGTCCCTGCGTCGGGGAAGATAGCATCTAAGCGGATTCCGTTTCGTTTCATTTTGTTCGTTCGTCCCCCCCTGGGGAGGGGAAGGAGGAAAAAGGGAGGAAAAAAGGGGAGGAAGGGTGGATTCGCTGCAGTGCAGTCGCGTGCCCCGCGATCGGGGATGAGAAGATCGTGAAGATGGGACCGACCGTGCTGGCTCGGGTGTTCGTGCCTCTGCTCTTCTCGCTCATCCTGGCCGTCGGGAACACGGATTCCACCTGGTGGTCTGTTGCTTTCACTTTCACTTTCCTCGCTCTTCCTCGCCTTTCCTCGCTTTTCCTCGCCTTTCCTCGCTCTTCCTCGCTTTTCCTCGCGTTCCTGGACGTTGAGGAAAATTGTTTATAGGCGTTGCTCGTTGTCGTTTATTGCGCGCTATTATTTGTTGTGAGCCATTATTTGTCGCGAGCCATTATTAGTTGAGCCAGCATTTGTCACGAGCCATTATTGTACCATTTTATGATTTTGTTTATTTCGCTAAATAAACGGACTTTCGACAGCTTTGCGAGTCTTAGAAGACAAATAAGACTCACATATCCCAGGCGGCTTAACTTCCCAAACCGATAAAACTTTTATCGAGAAACGCCGCATGACTCACGGGGAAACCCGGGAGCAACACGGAACGCAAAGAAAAGGGAGCAACACGGAACGCAAAAAAAAGGGAGCAACACGGAACGCAAAAAAAAAGGGAGCAACACGGAACGGCATTCCCCCCTCAGATTTCAATATTCCTCGCGTTATCATTGTCATTTTTATTTTATTATTCCCATAGAAAAATACCACCAATCGCCGATCGCGCGCGATTTAAGACATTGAGGTTGCCAAATTTGTTGCCAAATTTGTTGCGACGACTTAGCCAATGGGAAAAGTGCCGCAAGCGTTTTGTTATTCTAATTAGCACTTTCGCGCCATCATTTACGCTTGAAATTTTACTTTAAAACTTTTTCATTGGTTTTACCATAATTTAAAAATGAAGCTTTTATTTACCATATTTTAAATTACGTCCCTTTCACGCCCAAATCACGTTTTAGGGAAAATCTTCCGTTTAGTTCCGTGGTACATGCGTTAAAAAATAAAAAAAATAAATTAGATTCAACTCAAATGATTCATCGAAAATTTCAAGAAAATTAAGCGAAATCATGCAGTTCCTCCACATATCTATGCAAATTTGCGAAAACTCGGGGGAAAATAGCGGAGAAATTTCTGAAAGGGAATTTCGGCGCCACTTGGCACGAAAGTTCGTGCCAAGTGGCGCCATCGGGCACGAAATGGTTAATTGGATTTAAATTAATTAAATTAATAGTTTGAGAGTGTTATCAAGGAAGTTCCTCTCGCCCGCTGCCGCAGTCAAACGATTTCGTTCGCCGCGCGAACGTTCGCGGTTCGCCGATCGGTTGGGGGAAGCGCGCGGGAGAAGTCCCGGCGACCCTCCGAGTCTTGCGGACGCTTCGAGCCGCTCGCGAAGGAAGACACGAACGGAGGATGCATCCTCCACATCCTCCCTATCCTCCATTTCCTCGATATCCTCCCTATCCTCCATGTCCTCCACATCCTCCATGTCCTCCACATCCTCCACATCCTCCACATCCTCCATGTCCTCCACATCCTCCGCCTTTCCCGCAAAATCCGCGGGGAAAAAAAAAAACGGAAGAAAAAGATAGCCATAAAAAAATGTGTTGGTATGGACCCGAAGCTGTAGGAGTGAGAGAACCCCCAGAGGCCAGTCCCGTCGGAATCTCACGTCACCCTCACATGAGTTATCCCTCGCTTGAGTTATGCCCGGGACGTGAGATTATGGCCTTTTTTTTTTCCCCCTCTCCGACCAGTTCCCATGCGAACGCGGTCCCGACTTGGGTCAGCAGAATTAAGTCTGGCTCGGTTAAGCTGAGTTAAGTGGCTTAAGAGGCTCTCCTCCTCGCGATTTCCTCTTCCTTCGCTTTTCGCTGCAAATTTCAGCTTCCAGGCCAAATTCGCTCTTTGTGCCAAAATTAATGGCACAAATTCATTTTTGTGAATTTTTTCGACAAATCATAAAAACTGTAATTTGTATTTGTATAATTATGTAATTTGTCAATGATTGACCGACCAAACGAAATGCTTCAACTCCAAATATTTAAATTATTCCCATTCGTCCGATTGAACCTTCCACAATGCTTTTAGTATTATCGTTTATTGTATATTCATGTTTACATACATTTTTTTCATTCATATTTATTTCTATTTATTTATTTCTATACATTTTATTAATATTTTACTCCCACCATCGCCCACCCACGAATACCGCTTAACCCCTCCCCAGGTTCCTGGGCCAACTGCAGCTGAGCACCGCGGTGAACCCGCGGGTGTACTGCAACCACATCCCCGGCCTGGTGCGGCGGCAGCGGCGGCTGTGCCACAAGTACGCGGACGCGATGCCGAGCGTGGGGCGTGGGGCGGGGATCGGCGTGGCGGAGTGCCGCTTCCAGTTCAGGCATCAGCGGTGGAATTGTTCCACGGTGGCGACGGATGCGTCGGTGTTTGGGAAGACCATTCTCAGAAGTGAGTTTTTTTATGGGGGGCTGGGGGGCAGAGGGGGCATGGGGGGCAGAGGGGGCAGAAGGAAATGGGGGCGTGGGGGGTTGGGGGGACACATGGGGCTTGGGGGCAAGGGGGGCGAGGGGGCGTGGGGGGCAAGGTGCGAACGAAAACACAGCAATTACGAAGGGAAAAAGGGCTGTGTCCATGCTCAAAGCGAGAAGAAAGAAAGAGAAAGAGACCACCCGAGGAGGTGTTAAGGCTACGTTTCAATTACGGGGCCGGCCACACCTTCCTCCCATTCGTTACCTCCGGTCCGCCATTACTCCGCCATTACTCCTCTATTACTCCTCTATTACTCTGGAATCTCGGGGGGGATCGCGGGCCTCCCTCCCACTGGATGTGATCTCTGACCCGTTTTTCTTCGCCGTCTCAAGGACGGGGCGGGATCGGTCTCCGCCCGCCGGCGGTGTAATCTGTCTGTAATGTTCATCGTTGTAATGTCCATCGTCGTGACGTAATCCGTCTGTAATGTCATTCGTCGCGTGCGGATCGTCTCGCGGCGGAAAATCACCGACACTCGCCCGCGGTCCATCGAGCACTTTCGGAGCCGCAAACGCGTCCAGGACGTGACTTAAGATCCGCCCGTCGCTTAAGATCCGCACGTGGCTGAAGATCCGCCCGAGGCTAAGGATCCACCCATGCAAATTTTGAAAATTACGCATTGTGCAATATTTAAAATCAAATACCGACTTAAGTACTCTTCGGTACTTGCCAGTCCAATCTCGAGCCGAGTTAAGCTTTGGTTTGGCTTCTTGCTTAACATTCGACTTAAGTACTTTCCGTACTGTCGGTACTCGAGAGGGGAAAGTGCTTCAGATGCGCAAATTCGGCGTGAATTTGCAAGAAGCTGCAAAAATTTGCGTCCTGGCCTTGGCAAAACATGCCGCCGACAATGGCAAGTCTTCTTGCCAAACCAGCATGGTCCCGTTGACGAAGCTTGGAGCTGCCAGGAGATTCCTAGCGAGACTCTCCTAGTGGGACTCTCCTAGTCAGACTCTCCTAGCGGGACTCTCGGGAGCGCTGGGAGGCAACGCGCAGAAAAAAATCGCGCGGTTCGTCGCTTTCTGCACGATTTGCCAGGGGAATGCGATCGAAGAATTTTCACAGGCAGGTCTTTACAGGCAGGTCTTCACATGCAGGTCTTCACAGGCAGGTCTTCACAGGCAGGTCGGAGTGATCCCGCCCGCGAGGAATCCCGAAAATTCCACGGATGTTGAGAGTCGCTTCGCAGGTCGTAAACCACGGACTCCCGTGCGTGCATGTGCGTGCATGCGCGCGGACGTGCGTGGGCTCCCTCTTTTGTTTTGAGGCAGACCCGGCCGTCGACTCGACGGGGGAAACCAGTTCACCTTGCGCGGATAAAAATGTGGAAACATCCAGCATCCTCCGGCCCTCATCCCTGGGGAAAAACGCACAGGTCGCCGAATCGACTCGAACTTCCCCCCTCAACTCGGCGACATCCCTCCGCAAAGGGCGATTCCACGACGCCACAAGGACGACCACCTCCCCGAGTCTGCGCCCGTCCCCACTCCTCTTCCACCTTCCACTTTTCAACCTTCACCCTCTGTCTTCCACCTTCCAACCTCCACCCTCTGTCTTCCATCCTCCATCCTCAATTTTCCACCCTCCATCATCCACCCTCCACCCTCCATCATCCACCCTCCACCCTCCATCATCCACCCTCCACCCTCCATCATCCACCCTCCACCCTCCACCCTCCACCCTCCATCACCCACCCTACCAGTTATATAATAGCTGCTACGGAGAGACTGGTGGAGCTTAGGGCTCGCCTCCCTTCATTCTCCGTCTCTTCCTCCCCGGCGAGACAGCATCCCTGTTGGTCCATCCGTTTCGCCGCGATTCGGCGCGGACGGGCCCGTCATGACGTCATCGAATCGCCAAATTCGAAAGTCAGATTTACGACTCCCAAGCGAAGCAAATAATTTAAATGGCTTTGGGCACGGGTGCATTAATTAAAGATGCATTTAAAGCGACTTCTAATTAGGCATTGCATTGGGAATATAATGAATAATTTGATACCGATGGTACGACAGGGGCCATTATTAAAATATGATCTCTCTTTGCATAATGGTCGGTCACGACACGTCAATCAAGCGCACAACTCAAATGCGTTCTAACTCATGACCGCCTTCTCGTGTCATGACCGCCTTCTAATTTCGTGACGCCTTCGCGAATCCATCTGCAAGGTTGCCAAACTCATTTTGCACGCATAACCGAGTCGATTACCCAAAGGTGCTCGTTTGCGGGGACCGTGGAATGCGAACGGAACAAAGGCGGGTAGAAGGCGGTAGGGGAAGGCGGCATCCAGCCACCCAAGAAGCTGGCCGTCTTTACGGCTCTCAATAAAATATGAGAGACGGAAATTATAGAAGGTGCTAAAACCTCCCTTTTCGGACGAGTCAATTAAGCCGAAAACCTCCACCCTCGTGCCCCTCGTGCCCCCCGTGCCCCCCTCGTGCCCCTCGTGCCCCCCTCGTGCCCCTCGTGCCCCCCTCGTGCCAGGGAGGAAAACGCACGGGGATGTTTGACGAAGCATCGCGATCCCGCCGAATCTGATTTATCTCAGCTGGCGTGGGAAAAGAAGCCGGAATGCGGAGACCGGGATTCCGATCCGACCTTCTGTTTGTTTCCTTAATCTCCCCCCCCCCCCCCCCCCCCCCCCCTCCCCGCGTTCCTCCTTTTTGCCCCGCGTTCCGGCTTTTCTTGCGGTTCCTTCCCGGGCGGGCTCTCATAGTTTTCGATCCGAGCGTGGGGGGTCGTCGATCGTCATTAGAGCGGCTTCCGATGATTTGGGTCATGACTCGGTTCAGAACTTGGCTTATAACTTGGCTTATAACTCGGATTATAACTCGGTTCCTGATTACAACTCGGGTTATGCTTTGGCGGTTTTTCGTTCGAGTTCCGCGTTGCACTCTCGTGTCACTCAGCGGCCTCTTTCAACAGTCTTTCAACAGTCTTTCAACAACTCCACGAAAAACGGAAAAAACCATGGAAATGGATTGGAATCGACGAGATGAAAACGGTTAGCGGAGTGTGGGCTACCTGGCCTTCAATATTGGTGTCGATTCGTCAAGGGAGGCAAAGGGGGCATAGGGGGGCAAAGGGGGGCAAAGGGGGCAGGGGGCAAAATGCTCAGTTTCGTGGAAGTGAGACATAAAATTTAAAATGTTCAGGAAAGTTAGGCGTTAGAAGCGCAATAAAAAATACATTACGACCGTATTTCAGATGAAAAATGTTAAAATAAAAAAAAAATTCCAATTAAAACCTCCCCGAAACATCCCGGGACTTCCAGCCGCTCGGGCGGTGATATGGTTGAGAAGTCTGAAAGGGCGTGAAAGGGCGTGAAAGGGCGTGAAAGGGTTGAAGAGTCTGGAAGAAGATTTTGGTGGGACGAAAAACATCGAAATTCGTTTTCTGCTTTGGAATTCGAACGTTCCGTTCGTGAAAAAAAAGGAGTGAGAGGAAAAAACGAGACTTAACTTTGCATCTTGCATTCAACGTCAAGGCAACCTTTCATCGAGGCAACCTTACATCACGGCAACCTTTTCAGGATCGAGCCGAGAAGCAGCCTTCGTCTACGCCATCAGCTCCGCCGGCGTGGTGTATTCCGTGAGCCGGAGTTGCAGCAAAGGGGACCTGGCCCACTGCCGCTGCGACCCGCGACGAACCGTAAGCGACGCCCTCCCGTATCGCGCGATGCCGTCTTTCGACCGTCTTTCAACCGTCTTTCGGCCGCGCAGGGGAAGCACAGAGACACGCGAGGGGAATTCGCGTGGGGAGGTTGCTCGGACGACGTCCGGTTCGGGTCGCTGTTCGGGAGGAAGTTCGTGGACGCGAGGGAGAAGAAGGTGCGGGACGCGAGGGCGCTCATGAATCTGCATAATAACAGGGCCGGGAGGAAGGTCAGTCCCCTTCTTCGTTCACCTTAATTAGTGTTAATTAATTAAGACGAAGGGTGACGTTCAGGCGGTGAGGAAGCACATGCAGCTGGAGTGCAAGTGCCACGGCGTGAGCGGGGCGTGCACGGTGAGAACGTGCTGGGCGTCGGTCATGGACTTCAGGTCGATCGGGTCGTACCTGAAGAGGAAGTACGACGCGGCGACGCTGGTGACGATGGACCAATCGGGGAGGGACCTGGTGGCGGCGGTGGGGGATCACAAGCCGCCGACGAGGGGCGACCTCGTCTACCTGGAGGCCTCGCCTGACTACTGTCTTCTCGATCAGCAAGTCGGTGAGTCCGATCGGCAGCGACCGAGGGTTCCCGCCGGCGCGAAGAAGGTTCCCGCCGGAGCGAAGAACCGCCGCAGACAGCCGTTCCCCGCCCGTTCGCTAGCTTGAATGAGTCGGCGTCAGATGTTTCTCGCGGCGGCGAAGAGGCGCGAATTGTGGAAAAGTGTAGTCATGGTCGTGTCGCGTCGCCGTTCAGCGTGAAGCGTCAGTTATCGCATCGTTAAGCTTTTTTTTTAAATTAAAATTCTTTAATTGTAATATGTGGCTTTTGCAATGACTTCGCCATTCTTTGTAACGATAATTTTTGCTAATTATTGTCGCGAATTTTTTTCCTTACATCAGACGGCAAGCTCATGCTCGCTTTTTCCTCTGAGCCACCCGGCATAGCCGACTGCATTGCATTATTGTCCTCTTCTGAGTGAAGGCCGACTCAAGTCGACCTTCGGCATATCGACCTCGTTCACACCGGAAATGCCATGCTACAAGGGCGAAACTTTTACTACCAGCAATCTTATAGCAGCACGATGCGCATCGGCCAGAATTTTTTACATTTTCATATTTTTCATACATTTTTTTATTGGACGCCGCTAGAGACATCTGTCGGTCGTTTAAGTCTAGTCCAGTTGGAGTCGTAATTTCTCGACCAGATTCTTTTGGATCCGGTTTTTGAATGGTTGCTCGTTTTTTCATGTAAGAAATTCGCAGTCGCAACGTCATTTGTATCTCCTTGTCATACGTGACAATCCTGTCATATGTGACCGATTGGGCATCGCTTGGTTTGCTAGATGCCACTACGCCACCTGGCAAGGTGGCAGTGAGTATTATTTTTGGTGGATGAATTCAAAAAAGTTTTTTTTTGCGAATTCGAATTTTGAAAAAAAAAAGATCGCTTCTGGCTGGAAAATTGCAGTTGGCAAATTGTAATTTTGTAGAAACTTTATTAATGAATTTCGCATTCCAGTTTCAACTTCTGTCACCACCTGGAACCAAAATAATTAAAAAAAAATACTCTTCAAGGCATCTCTTCAACGTCGCCGAGTGGCGACTTTGTACCAGGTGGTGCTCCAACACTGTTTGCTATCAGGTGGTGTTCAAGTGCGACTGCAGCTTTTTGCCGCATTTGTGCTCTCGCTACAGCGATACAGAGATACATAATTAACCGAAATGAGAAATTAATAGACATTGATTAACATTATTATAAACAAACTGAATATGAAAACAAATTGAAAGCAAACGGAATAAAAAAAATTTTAAGAAAATTTGAGGGCAGAAAATACTTTATTATGATCAGATGCTAAAACGAATTGGATTTTAGGAATAAGGAATAAGCTCATATTTTTGCTCATATGGAAATTAGTCATTTACCATAATATATTTGTTTCCAAACCGTACTTTCTGTTTAATCTTTTGCTCGGAATTATCTTAAATTACTATTTAAGTACGAGAAATTAATAAAGTGAATCCATAGCATTTTAAGATTCTGCTCATCCCGCTCGCCATTCCCTCCTGCTTGAACTCTGGAATTGCCAAATTCGAAAAGTCATTATTAGCATGCAAGCCTGAGAAATTATACGACGAGACTGAGCGAAACACGAGGTTGCTCCCTGACGAACAACTTAATTTTTGCACCATCTTGGACCTCTCTCCTGGCAATGACGTTGGTTATATTTCGGGAAACGGAAGATCATTTCATTTTGAAGCAGCATTTTCTACATGAGCGGGGAATTCATTTTTATATTATTTTATTTTAGTTCCTCGATAAGTAGAAGCGGTTCAGTAAAAATGTATTGCCACCCAGCTGAATCGCTCGGCTCATTACAATTCCTGCGCGAAGATTTCGCCGGGAACGCCAACAATTTTTCCCACGTGAAAACTTTCAATGGAATTCGGACTAATCCCCCCGCCGGTCCCCTCGTAAAAAAGTACCGGCTTTCTAGGACCCGAACACGTAAAACACGTACGAGGCCATCACGCGCTCGCATTCCACCGAATGACCTTGCTCTCGCGATCGCAGGTTCGTTGGGGACGGCCGGACGGGAATGCAACCGGACATCCCCGGGCACCGACGGCTGCGACATTCTCTGTTGCGGCCGCGGCTACGACACCGCTCGCGTCCTCGTCACCAAGAAATGCCACTGCAAATTCATCTGGTGCTGCGAGGTGGAATGCCAGGACTGCAGGGAGTGGCGGGACGTCTACACGTGCAAGGCGCCGCGGCGGGACAGTACCTGATCCCTGTGACGTGCCAAACGGGGAAAGGATCCCGAAGGCAAAGAATCTCGCCCGGCCCCCGCCTTGTCATCAATTACTCATCTCGTCCTGCTCATTAGCGGCGACAGGTCTGGTTCATTATCGACTTCGTGGCCGACCGACCAAAGACAAGTACGCGAGATATGTCGACCGGACGAGACGGCAAACGAGGAAAAAAAAAGGGAAAACGGAAATCCTTGAGCTTGTATGATGTACAGACTCGAACACAGCTGCGCTGTGTTCAACCAGTGTATGGTATGCTATTTATAATACGAAAGCCGCAGGTGTACTAGTCAGATTCCTCCCACTCACCTGTACAACTTGTGTTCAACGTGTGCGGATTCGACCGAATGTGCATGTAAATGAATGAAAGACTTTTTTTTATACATTCGGGAGTCTTTTTCATTTCCTTCTCCAATCTCCCATGGGACCGAACGAGACGGATCGACACAAATACGACTCTGCACGACAAAAAACATTCAGTTGAGGAACACTTGGGTTGCATGACCGGTGAACACGTCATATTCTGGCCAGTTGCTGGAGGAGATTCGACGGTAGAATCGCTTCCAGCTTGTCCAGAACGTAGTGGAAGGGAACGGAGAGCCATGTCAAAGCCTGCAAAACGTGCAAAAAAAAAAGCGTGCAAAAAAATTATTTTCCCGTCGGAAGTCATTTGCATGATGGGAGAACATCTGTGCAAATTTTCCTTTTCCCATTGAAGAGAAAGGGAGAGGGGAGCAGGTGGGATCTCTCTGAAAGTGAATGGGGGCGCTGAAGCAGGGAATTCTTCAGCGAAGATAGCCGATAAGGGATTATCCCATTCACACCCGGATACTGTGTAGATGGGATAGACGCGCTGGATGGGATATCCTCGCCGTTTCGCCTTCCACACCGTCAACAAACATCCTCGGCCTTGTCTTTTCCCCATTCGGCGCGGGGGGAGCGGAGAAGGCGAACAACAAAGGGTCTATGCTCTGGCGCATTCTTCTCGCACAAAAGAAAATTTCTGCAATTATGCATTCGCTGGAATTACCCGACTGAAAAACCTAACCGTCGATTGACCTAGCCTCTGAAGGTCCCCATATTAGTAACTGACAATACCACGACAATTTTCTTTACATAAGCAACTTTTGCACGACATACAAGATTTAAGCAACAAAGCAAGCAAAAACAACAAGCAAAATTGTATTAATGAAAAAGCTAAGCAATAAGCGGTAGGATTTCAGAAAAAATCTCTTCAGCTCCCAGAAAACGCCAAAATTGTTCTTGCCTCTCCATCTAATCAAACAGCCGTATCGCTTTCTGCACGAACTTCTCGAATAAAACGACGCTCAAAATACTTGCACGAAACGGGAAACAATTTATGTCGAACCCTCGCGTTAAGGAGAACGTCGTCACATAATTCCTTTCCGCAAGGGAAGGAAGCACCAAAACGTTTCCTCTCATATCAGCAAATTCCAAGCCCCAAAAACGTTGGTCGCAAGGGGCGTGTCTCCAGCCGCAGTTCAGGGCGCATATATCTCGGGACCACCCAAGGACGCAGCCCCTCCCCCAACCTTAATATCTTCGACCTCTCGCATACCATCCCGTAACGCGGGAAAGGTTCGCATGACTTCATCGAGCCCCAACCCCCACGATCCCGTCAGGCGTCATCGAGGAAATCCAAAAAGCGACGAAACGCCGAGCGAACCTACCGAACCGCAAGGAATTCTGACGTCACGGACGGGAACCATGACGTCACGCAACAGAGAAAGGGAAGAAACAGTCGGAATCGAGGTCGCTTCGGAAGACAATGGACTGCGCTCGTTAGTGCAGCTCCATAAAGCTGCTGGTAATTACTGCATCGGAGGGGAAAGAAGAAAAACTAGAATTCTTTTCGCAACGATTCCATGCAAAATCCCTCCAGTGCGACAGAGAGCCACCTGGTGTTCATGCAGCGCGACCCCAAACCTCGTCTGAAGAGTACTTTGAAGCAGTTGCAGCACAACCCTGCGAAGGTGGTGCATATTTTTCGAGTCTCTAAGACGACTGTCACCTCATGACGACAAAATCGATCCGATCGTCAACGGCATGGAAATTCCTGCTCGGTTCCGCGTTTTGTGCTTTTTCAAAATGCTGCTCCCCCTGCAACCACCCGGTCACCTTTGCCTGTCAGAGCGGACCTTTCCCAACACTTAACCTGCTATTAAAAACGTAAAAGAAAAATGAGAAAACCCTCGCAGGTGCACCCTCTCCCTTTCCACATACTTCGACCATTTCGCCCGCAAGACGAAGAATCACGCCTCTACACCCGCAACCCGCAACCGCCGCACGGAACAGGTCGTGTCGCAAGAGGCGATCGCGCCCGCGAATCGGAGCTCGACCGGACAGAGCCGAGACGCCCAGCCCTTCGAGGGCGAAATGAGTAAGTATCGTGTGGGACCATTGCCCTCAAACGCAGCGAAACAATGTCTGAAAATCGCACCAGAAGACATCTATCACCTGCGGATGGATTCCCCGTCTAAACAGATCGAAGGGCATCTTAGCACGAGGCCAACCGCGTCGTGCCACCCCCAAACAGCGATTTCCATGCCAATCACGATCGGTTTTTCCATCGCGCCAGTCCTCACCTTAGTCCTCAATAGACTCGAGATGCTGCGGGGCATCATAATTATGGCACATAGTCCCATTCTGTTTCACGGTCATCTTTTTCCTTCGAAAATCTGTTTACAAACTTTTACTCTTTACACCCAGAAGGACCTCTAGATTTTTAGATTATTCCTGAAATGACTTACTTTAATCTAGAGATGCTGAAATTTGATACATTTCTGTAATTTTGTACCGACAACACCTCTAAGGTAAATCCTCGAAAGAAAATGTTATCAAAAGTCCATTCCTTTGGCCGGTCTTCACAAGTGCAGCTTCAGTTTTATATATGTTGATACTTTTTTGTTGTTGTTGCTAGCATTGCACAGAATGCAAAAAAAAGCTTATTGGACAAGAAAATCCAATATGTCAGATCCGTTGAAGCTCGGTGGAGCACAATAGCATAAGTCCCCTATTTGGGTCATATTGAAGAGACTTCCAACGAGACCCGTAAAAATAAGCAATTAAAAAAAATCTAACACCTAACGCTAAAAGAAAAAAAAAAAATCGATAGGAAATCCGAAGGCATCTCATCCACCCTCTACAAATTCTTCCCTGAAAATTTAAGCGAACGTTTGCAACCCAGTGACAACATTTCCCCCCACGTGATTGCAAACGACAGCGACCGAGTCACCACGAGAAGCAGCCAAACCAAGCTGCTTTCCTCCACCCTTCAAACGAACTCGTCCAAGCCCAATCAAACCGAGCAAGCAGGCGCAGATAAAAAGTTGTTACTCAGGTTCTAATTGGACAGATCCAGAAAAAATTCCTCGGCTCGCTTAGCACCCTCCTTTGTCAACTGGGCCCGGCTAACGAGCGAGTGGGGTGCTAAGCGAACCGGTGGGAAAGGGGACCTTTGATAATCCTTGGGGGAGGGGTGGGGGGAGAAATTCCGTTCTTTGCCCTCTCCACCTCAGGAAACTGTTTTTATCACATATCATAAATGCCAGTGAAAATGTAAATCGAGGGAAAAACTATAAAATGCAACGTAACAAAGGGTGGCGAAAGGAATCACGGACACTAGAAATTTTCTTCCAATATACAGTACATTTGCAAGGTGCAAAAACGTAAACTTTTAAAAATAACAATGTAGGCATTTATGGATGAAATGTGAGTAACCGAGGGGAAAACTAAAATATATACAGAATGTCTCTCATCTGAAAGAATGAAATATATATAGCAGATAAATAAACTTTTAGTAATGAAATCTACGACTTACGGTAGGAGAGTTTAGGCTACTTTACCAGGAACTACCAACAAGAATATTCCCGGTATCAGCTAGACAACTGCACTTGAGAAATTCTACATGCTCCCTAATTCTTTGGTGCAAATGGCACCAATTCTGCACCGGAAGTATTCATGCCTCTTCATGGAGACGACAGAAAGTTCATTTTTTGTATGACGTGGAGCAACAGAAAAAAATGGTTGAAAACAAGATGGTCAAAATTGGATTAAACCAATAAAACTGGTCAAGAGGAAACTTTGCAATAATCATTATCATGGGCTCACAAAATTAAATGAAATTGAAAATCTGAATTTCTTTAACCCCTAAAATGCAAAAGCGGTAATACTGTCAATCCTTTTTTTCTGTGCAGCCACCGAGACAACAGATCCAATCTGACAACTTTTATTTTTTAATGGCATTAAGAGATCTCCTTGGGCGACTTGAGAGGAATGGCAGAATTGTTACGGTTTCCATTCCCTTCCATCGGTAGACTTGGAAATTATGAGAACAATCTTTCATTTAAAACCAGTGTCCAAAACCCTGTGCCAACCCCACAAGAGGCTGGAGGAATTTCTTATTTACAGGTTCATTCTCATCTACAAGATCAGATCATTTTCAGCACTATCCAACATTGGTAATGATAGTGAATTTTCTTCAATTTGTCAGCCTGAGGCTGATGCCTTTCAATTGAGGATTGCAAATTGCATGATTGAATGCAATTGATATGAAAAATACACTTCTGAGACATGTAAAAAGAATTAATCCCAACATGAGCAGGATAGTCCCCTGAAAAGTCAAAGCTGTTAAATACCTGCAAATGCAAGTACAGCCAAAGACACCAGGACAGCAGCACATATGACATTAGATCAAGGAACCCACCATTCGGGCTATGTACCCCATGGGCTCTGGGTACTGGTGAGTGAGAAGGGTGAGGAGAGCAGTGAAGCTGCACAACCCAGCAGTGAACAAGATGAAGAATGGCAGCTCCTTCTTTGGGTAGACACTCACTTCATGGAAGGCTATAAAAAAAAAGGTCATATTCTCAAGCTCCATTTAAGGAAAACCAGGTTTTACTGTTCAGTCTGGACTAAAACTTGGTTAAAAGAGACAAGAATTAGTTCACCTCTTCCCACCATTTCTAAATAATTTGGCTGGACTCAACTGAAACTAAGGGTGGATTTTTGAACAGAGCACTATCCGATAATGCTGCTTTATTTCAGAGAAAATGCATTATAAATCTGGTAAATAAAGCTGCATTATCGGATAGTGCTCTGTTAAAAAATCCGATCTATATTTTACTTTAAGGCCTCCACTGGGAGGCAAGGTGCAACTTTGGAAGGTTTTCAGCTTATTCATTCAGTTTTACAGTCACCTCTGTTGTATATTCAGATTTTCTTATGTCAATCTCATGGCACTTCTGACCAGACATAACTCATAATATTATATAATACTACTAGCATATCCAGGCAATGAAAATTTCCCCCTGCAATTTCCACAAAATATTTACTTTTGTTGCAATAAAAAACAGAAACAAAATAGAGAGCAGAGCAGGTGAAGGATGGATGTCATACAGTTGAATAGAGCAGAGTGCATCTGGTTTCTCCCCTCATTCTCTGGAGAATTTAATGAAATTATTTAATATATCATTTATGCTCTAGATAACATCAGTTCTAGTTCAAAATGGTAGATTCACATTTGGCTATAGGGGGAAATATTACTTTTTTTTTTAACTAATAACCATTGACAGCTGGAGCAAATTACAAGGAATACATAAGAATATGATTAGTGTTTCATAATAAAGGTAGCATATGCACAAACTAGTTGAATTCTGATTTCAGCCTCCTGCAATGTTTTCCAGAATGTTGTACACAATCTGAATCCTAATTTGAATCAGTGGAAGTCAACTGCCATTCTGAAATATCCTTCCAAATCCAAAATCTGTCTAAAATAGGATTCAAATTGTACTCAAGTAGAATTTTGATTCAGAATCACTTTACAATAGTGGAAAGATGGCACAGGGAAAAAGGAAACGAGGAGCGGGACTCACAGGGTAGGAGTTCCCGATCAGCACACTCTGTGCACGTGGGGTACGGGTAGAAGAGATGACCCCGCTCGAGAGGGCAAGGAAGGAGTCGAAACGTCCCCTCCCATGTACAATGCAGCAGGTGCAGAGCCCCATCCACCCGTCTCCAGTGCTGCAGGTGGCAGAAAGCATACGCGATGGCTTCGGAGTCGCCCCGTTTCAACAGGTGCTCCGGTGGAAGGATCAGAGACTTCATCTCCAAAAGATACTGTCAAAGTGAAAAAAAGATGCTCTCTCAATAAAATTGTCCTCTGCAGGCTGTCATTCAGTACATGGCCCAAATGAGAAGTTGGGAATGACCTTGGGAACATGAGGGTTGAATTCCACCGCTCGATGGATGGCCTCCACGGCTGACAGCTCGGCTGATGTCAAGCCTTTTTTGCTGGCCAGGTCTGGTGAGAACCTGAAATGTGAAACCATTGATATATGCAATACTACTTCAAAACAGCATGATTAAATGGGAATCAATGGTGACAGAACACTAAAGTAACGGACAATAAGCAATAAAGAGTAGAAGTCAAAGACAGTAAAGGGTATGATGCCAGTCATTGGGAATCGTCTTGAAAGAACGAAAGGAAATTCTCATGGCTTGCTTAAATATGCTTCATAACCAACCATTCCCTGAAGCCCTCTCTATGGAATGCTCAGTTGATGATGAAGTGCCAAAGCCTTTAACATAAGGAATAAACTACATCACTGGCACTTCCTGTACACCTCTTCACAAAAATTCAAGGGAAAGTGAGAGATAAGGAGGTCTCACTTCTCAGACACTGCCCTGGCCTTGAGCAGTGCAGCCGTGTAACAGATGGTGGCCGACTTGGGAAGGGAGATGTCGTCGTACTTCGCGAGCACGGCCTGGACGTCCGCATACGCCTGCATCTCCAGCAGGGCCTCTATCAGGTTCTCATGGATGTTCAGCACATTCAGGATCGCAGGGACTTCCTTCGTAAGCTGAAACAGCAAGCACCTTTGAATACATCTGCTTCTTCTCGTAAATGAGCAAGGAAATAGGTAACTGACTTGAAACTGATTTCAAAATGGAACATAAAGCATAAGAAAGCACTGTAGGTCTTCCAGAAAGACCTCTCATCACCAAGGCAAAAAATGTCACAGAGAGGGACAGAGAACCACTGGAACTCACATCTCTGAACATTTTCACCGCCTCCTTCAGCTTGCCCAACTTCCTCGCACACATAGCGAGTCGTCTCTTGATGTAGACTAGAACATTTGTATCTCTTCCTATGAATGGAGAAAATCCAGTTTTCTTTGACAAGGGAATTCATGGAATAGATCATAACGATGCAGGGTGCCAATTAGTTATATTTCAGCCATATTGTAATGCAGCCAGATAGCTACGGAAGACTACATTTCAAGAATGCCATTTTGGGTGTCTTGAAAGTAACTACAACTAAGGAGTTCTCTGAAAAAGGGGCTGAAGTGTCTGTATGCCCTTTTTCAATATCTGTGTCCATGTGCTGCTTTAAGTGACTTGTCATAGGATAGGCACGAAGTTAAGACACGTATTCAGCAAAGGAGAAGCTGATTTCCTTTGCTTCCACTATTTGGGTCAACTGCTTCATAAATATTACATAAGCATCAGCATTGATTAATGATTCAGGTGGAATAATTTCATTCTATCGAACTGAAAGTGAGAATGAGGAAGAAATCAGGCGGGAGGAAAGTGGAAGAGGCCCAGTCATCTAAGCAGGATGCAAGAAGTTGGCAATATCCATGAAACAGCTGAAGATTCAAATGAATAAATTATTAATGAATCACTGATGAGCAATTAGTGAATGAAACCTGTCCTGAATATTCAAATATTTATTGTCATTATTTGAAGAAGGGTTGAAATGAAAATTGCAAATGTACTTATTGGTAAATAAATGTACTTATAGGTAAATTATGATTTTTACCAAGAAAGAGGTGGAGAAAGACTGGTTGTAAAAAAAAGTTCCAGCTGCACAGATATGGAAAAAGGGCATACGAGTAGAAACACTTTCTGCCTGCATCCTAGCTACATAAGATGAAGAAATTCGTTAAAACCCCAAGCTCAAGTGGAAAAAGGTTTACGATACCATTTAACCGAAAACTGAGTTTTGGCCAGCTGCAGATTTGCTATGAGAAGTTATTGCGATTTATCCTCAAATTGCATCCTTTGCACATATGCCTTTATTCCAAAGAAATTCTCAAGCACCTGTACTCACCTTTACATTGCTGGTATATCATGTTATTTACTCTGGTGAGAATGGTGGTCTATGTCCTTTTTAGTGTCATAGAGTGTAAATAGACAAGATGTACATTGAGGACATTTTCTGCAAATCAAAAATTACCATTCATGAGACTCTCATGAAGGCCTCCTTACAATGAAAATCCTGACGGATCAGAACAGAGTGCTTTTGCCTTAGACAGGGAAGATTTCAAGAGTACACAGCATGGTAAAGGTGAGGAAGTGTAGAGTTAATCCCTTGATAGCGTCAACTGCATATATATAAGCCTCATCTGATTCCCTCTTATGACACAGTAAAGAACTAATAAACCACTACCAAGAGGAAGAGGTAATGGCATCGAAGGATTGAAAATCCACTTTTTTCCATTTGTATTGAATTTCATCACCTCACTGATGTGTACAAAATTTTAAAAACTAAAGTCATCCTTTTTAGTTCTGAAGTTTTAGTTTAGTTCCGTATAGCAATGAAACATAAAAGAATGGATATCTTGCATGCAGGGAAGGAAATGCCCCCTGAGTGGACAAGATGTCTATATATATCCACAGTTCTCTACCAATTCAAGGTGAGGCATAAAAAGTGGGCCACTAACTCAGTGGTACATAGAAGATTGCAGGCAACACAAGGATATTATTTTTAATTACTTCTCTGAATTTTTTTCTTAATATCCTGGAATAATTTTTCCCTTCCTCTCTGACCACGTAACCATGTGAGAGATTTTATGAAAATCAACATCGAATTTTATTATAGTTCAAGGAGTAGAATTGAGTGTCTTCCATATTAGAATGATCATGCTTTTCACTGCCTTTGAATATATGAAGAAGGAATAACCTCTTATCATAAGATAGCAGGATTGAATACAATGGGGTATACATACCATACATGCCAAACATGAATACATACCATAAATGAATACATCTGAGTGCATGAGAACCAGTGATGAAATATTGGGGCACCTTCAACATGATACATACATAATTCAAAGGCAAAAATAAGAAGGCACATGAATTGAGTACCATGAATCTTTCGTTATGCTTTTCCAAGCAATCCAATGAAAATGTTGAGTGTTCTCCATAACCCACACTCAACACAATAATATGGTAATTTGGGTAGCCAAAGCCCTCCTGTACCCAGCCTTGCCTTTCTGACTCAAATTCAAATCATCCTGTCCACAAGTGCAAAAAAAATTATGTAATATTCAACGTGTTGGATGCGTGGATTTGCTGCCGTACGACGAAGATGTGAACGGGGAAAGGATATGGAGTATAAGTACTTACGATGAAGAACCTCCATCTTCGGTCCCTGATGCTGGAGCTGCTGAGACCGCCTGTAATTGATTTCGGCCACTTTGAGCGCCTGTTTGAACATCCTTTCGGCCTCCTGGATCGTCGTCGTCTCCTCTTCGGCCAGGAGAAGGAAAGCGGTGGAACATTCCGAATTCTTTTCGATCGCCTCGTGCGCAGCACGTATGCGAGCCCTGGGGCTTCTCTCTCTCCATGCGGTCTGCATGACTGCCACATGGATGGATTCATTGCATCAAAAAATGGAATACATTGAAATGAAAATGATGAGTATACATACATAAAAAGCTGAGCATTCAGTAAAGACATTCACCTCTACCATACCATAAATGCCCTCCTTTAAATTTTTTAATGACATTTGATGCACATCTGTGAATTTTCTTGATTTTAAGAAGATACCATTCCTCTGATTTTTAAAGATTCTGATTTTAAAAAACATTTTTCCATTTCCTCAGGCTTTCCAGGAAACAAGGAACCACATTTCACAAAGCAATCTCACTGTCAAAGCCCGGCTTCGTCGTATCGAGTTCGCACGTGAAGAACGTCTGATGGTCCTGAGCCGAAAGATTCATGTCGTAGTACGTCAGAGGTTCCTTCGACGCGAACCAATAGAACCGTTGGTACTCTGCTCCTCTCAGGAGATTCATGGGATTCCTCCATACTTTGCATTCTAGATTCAAGAACAGGCATGAAATCAGGCTGTTCCATAGACAGAAGTGCAAGTACTTAGCACATGCACTTCGGAACACGCATGTGTACGAACCGGGGACCGAGCTCTGTATCGGAGCGTTCCCCCGAGGAGGGGTTTCTTCATCGGTGTTGCTATCTCCTCCTCCGAGCCATGGACTGATGTGATTCAAAGATACTTGCTCGATGAATGATGTTCCGTACTTCCTGAAGTACCACCACTCAAAGATCTGGAGGAAAAAAAAAAGTAGCAAAAGTGGATTGCACCAAGGCAGGGCAGTGATAAGAGAGTGGCATCAGGAAGACATCAAAGTGACGAGTCGTAGTCCTATCAGGTATATGTATAATAAAAGTTTTAATGGCACAAAAGGAGGTCAATATCATAAATGACTTACCAGGATAAGTCCTGATATGAGGGACGAAGTGCCAGTCAATGCAACGTAGAACTTCGGCGTCAGTGTGCTCAAGAACATTGTTGCTGAAATGGGAAATGAGAAAACATTTGATCAGGAGTATGTGAAGTAGACCACACTAAACATATTTTTTAATTTCTGGCATTTGTGTATTTGTATTTCATTCTTATCAGCAAAGAAGGCAATTTTTTGTGATAACCTCAGTCAGGGTCAAGTGGTCTAAGAGGTTCAGTTAGACTACAAGGGTTAGAGATAACAGAATCAGAGGTTCCCTTGAGGAAAGATAGTGCAAAACACGAATAAGGGCAAGGAAGAGACTTGATTAAAAATGGAACCAAAAGAGAAGATGGACATCAGTGCAAGATGATGTGAGAACCACAATGGAATCATTCCTTAATCAAGAACAATAAGTATAATTGTGTAATGACCCTTGAGACGAGAAGAAAACCTGGGTTAAAAATAGGACATGATAGCTCACTTTTATTACCAAACCGCAAAACCTACATTATTCTTTTTGCAGCACCATCCATATCTTTGTGAGAAATATGGCATTTTCCTCATAGCAACAATTAAAACAGGCATGCATGATACCTCCTTATCCTCATTAGGAACATCTTCTTGAGCCTATCAAATAGATATGACAACTCATGAGGCTTCCCTTTGTGACTAATGCTCAATGTGATGACAAAGGTCACTAATAATGGTGACCTCATTAAAAGTGAAGTCACTAATACCCCTAGACAGGCCATTCCAAGCCTTTGGGGAAAGGCAGAATTCCCTAGGTCATCTGTCTTACCAGCTGAGGCAATTCGATTCACTTCTTAACCTACCATGGGCAATTTTGTTTTCAGTGTATCGCATGTTCGTTAATTTCTTTAGGCATTCACTGTGTAAAATGGATCAGAATTTTAATTGTCGACTTTTGCGGAAATAATGGGGGGGGAATTAATCTTACAAAATATCCATTAATTACGAAGCTATATATAATCAGGGTGCATGAACTGGTGAAGTTGAAATTGTATTGCCATGCACCTGGGAGGCCGTGACCTATTTATTTTGAAACACTCTGGTTTTGACTTGCAAAGCTGCCAGCTTAGTTAAGCCATTTAACCTACAGCCTTTTGTGGCAAAAAAAAACTTGGGATGGTCTTAGAGCCATTTCACAAGGTTGACACTAAATGAAGTTACATGAGAAACCTGTGGCTCATACTTCAATCATGTCAATTTATAAAAGTGGATTTGCTTCTTCGCTATGGATTAATAAATACGACATTGAGTTTACCCTTAACATTATAGGCCTGAAAAGACAGTCAATGAGTTACAAACACTGCCCCTTCAAAGTGAGGTGAAACTCAGAGGATACATATCTCCTTCTTCAATAAAGGTCATTCAGCTCAGAAAATGAGGATTGAGAGAATCTGTTGAGACAAAAATTTTACAATTTCTCTCTGGGTCCAGTACAGGAAGACACATCAGAAAAATCAATTTACAGTCTCAGAACCTAATGAGCAGAACAGATAGGAAGATAAGCAACTTTTTTGTGGGCATCATTTAGGGGTTTTGGTCTAGCTTAGTCCAGAATCTCATTCCACTCCCAGCCCAAAAAATGCGACGTGCAGAAAGGGTATTTCTGGCTATTTCTGTGAGTATAACTAAGCGTATTGGTTATTACAGGATGGACCATATGCCAAGTCGAGTTTGTAAGGCCTAGGCCTACGTCCACGTAAGAGCGTCGTACCCATCATGAACGGAGGATCGAGCTTCCGCCTTTGCAAATGCGATGCAGCGTCTCAGGAACTCGTGATACGGACCCAAAACACACCTACTCACGAAAACATGCCTCGTCACGACAAAATTTCTCAGAGCGCGAGCCCACTATGAAGCACTGATAACCCACTGCCAGTGGGACGACATAATGTAGCCTCCTCATTCCGTAAAGCGACAAGAGATGGCGCGCAGGGACTCCCTCCTCCCCGCCTGCATTCACCGCATGAAGGTCGCCGCAAGGAACCAATAAATTTCTCGGTACAGTTTACACACCGAAGACCCGACCGCAACCTACTATCCCCGGACCAAACGACCCCAAAGGTCACTCGCCTCCTCTTCCCTGACCCCCACCGACAGATGACTGACCCTCGATCCCTCCTCGTAGCACGACGTCACCCCCCTCCGAGACCGCAGCGCCACCTAATCCACCCAACGACGAACCGCGAGCAGACCACAGAGCGAACCTCCGGCGTCCTCCAGTCGTCGACCGTCTTCAGACCCGGCAGGTTCGTTTCAACGGCGTCTCTTCGCATCCGAGCGATCCACGAGGAAAAGCCTGGTTTACTTCCGATTCGCCTCGCGCGACGTCTTGGCGCTCGTCCAGGGAATCTCCGGGAGTCATTTGGCCGCGATTCCTTCGAGTTCCGGGTCGAAGGCTTCCCCCGGGAAAGGACGAAGGAAGAAGACATGCAAGGTCAGGAGTTTATTTAAAAAATCGGGGACTTCGAAGCTGGGAAAACCCGTTTCATACCGATTTTTTCGTCGCAACCGTCAGCCCTCAGAAAAAAAAGGAAATTTCTCAATCCAAAGTGCGGAGAGACGTGATAATCGACACGAGCGACTGACGAGGCCTCTCCGGGTCGAGGTTCTTCCCCGGTCGAGCCCTACTCGGGCCGGCAGAAAATGGACGGTTCGAGACGATCGCGTCCTTGTCGAGTATCGGGCGTTAAATCCCGGAATGACGAGATGTATTTATTGCCTTTGTCCAAGGTCGCGGATGAAAACAATTCTTTCTCCTTGCGAGTCATTCGCCTCATAAAAAAAAAGGCCGTGGATGAAGTTGCAGGACGAAGGCGGATGAAGGTGGATGAAGGTGGATGAAGTTGGACGAGGCGGGGTCGACCGCCCCGGGTCGCCGCAAGTGGCGAGTGTCGCGCTCGGACCGAGTGTCGATCGTCGCGGTTAAAGTCGGGAATTTTCCGCGGTCTCTTTCAAAGGGAGACATTTCCCATTCTCCGACTCGATTCCGCAGCGCAATCCGCGAGAGACAGCTTCCAGACGAATCGATCGCCCCTCGCGCGCGGGTCGACCCTCGCCTCGCCCCGCACGGAATCGCGAAAATTTAGGATGTTCGGGACTCGCGACGTTCCGCAGTCGCGAGTCCAACGATCCTCCACCCGCCTCCATCGACCTCCACCCGCCTCCATCGACCTCCACCCGCCTCCATCGACCTCCACCCGCCTCCATCGACCTCCACCCGCCTCCATCGACCTCCACCCGCCTCCATCGACCTCCACTGCCGGTCGTATGAGGCCGCAATTAGAAACGGATTAGCCCCTGGATCATCCCAATAGATAATCCTGCATCGCAGTTGCACGCACAAACGCCGCCGGCTCACTTTGAGAGGATTCCACGCAAGTTCATCTCATCACGAAAACTCGATCCACTAAAAAATTAAAATAATAATTGTTTTTTCCCGCGCCCTCGCTCTTTCCCTCCCCTTCCCATGCCGTTTTAATCATGCGACGCCTCGTACGACGTAAACGCAAAAACGTTTTATAATAGAGGAAGTAACGAAAAATGGAAATCCCTGCCATGAAGCCACAATTACGAGAAATATCGCATCTCCCTCGTGGAAACGCGGAAAAGCACTTTCGATGAGACGGGAGAGAACCCCCAATGTTCCTGGAATCATATTTCATTTCTTAGTCGATTCCGGCGTCCCATCTTTTCCTTGCACGTGTTACGGCCGAGCTAGAGGACCCTCATCCGTACACGGTCGCGGTCATCCGTACGCGACACCCTCATCCGTATACGACGTGGTGTCGATGACGTCATCGAACCGGCCGACACGAATCGCAGACGCATTCACCGAGAGAGAGAAAAGTCTCGCGAAGCTCAAGGGGATTTGAAAGTGTCGAGCGATCCGTCTTCATGCCCCTGCAATCACTGCGAACCAGAAAAGTTTCCACCGATTCACACAGGGCCCTGGGCAGGAAGCTGAGAGCAAGGGGCATGACCAGAGGGGGGAGGGGAGGCAGGTGATCGGAAGAACGGAAAGTGTTTTTTTTAAATTATATTTATTTTTTTTATGGACCCGCACTCGTCAAACTGGGCGATTAAACTTGGAGACCGTTATCTGGAAGCACCGACATTTACGAGGTCGAGCTGATCTCGAAACGGGCACAAGATCCGAATCACTGAAGGACCGAATGGGGTCGTTAGCACGAGGAAACAAGGAGGGGGAAGGGTAATTCTGTTCCCGGAAATTCATAAGTGGAGCAGCTTCATTATTATTCGATCCGAGTTTCGTTTCTGCGTCTCGTTTCGTTCGGAGGAGACGCGGTCCGAAACGAACGAGAGGCGAAGAATCGAGCCCAATACGAGCGCCGAGTTCAGGAGGACGGAGGAGGATCGAGCACGCGTCCGACAGCGAGGGAAAGCGCAACGTGGAGGTTTCAACCTGCTTCCCCCCCTCGGCGACGTGGAGGTTGGAACCTGCCGCTCTCCCCTAGGGAACAGCGGCACCTGCAGGATGCAGCCGGAGGTCTTGCGACACCATGCGGTCGCCTATAAGTATCCCCGATCCTCCATCCCCACTGCACAGACGAAAGCGAATCTCCTCTAGGCCTAAATCATTCCTCTGCTCTTTCTTTCTCTCAGGAGGAATAACTCTCAACTTACCTTTTCTGTTGGACGGGGATCACCTCTGCGAAGGAGGTAGTTCCGTTTTCTCGTCTCAACGGGAAAAAATCGCTCGTTTTAGTGGAAGTCACCAACGGAGCACTTCGGTCTGCTACCAACGTGTGCACCGTGTTCGAAAGTTGGGCGACCGAATCGCCGTGGAACCCGAATCTCGAGTCCCTTCCAATCAGGTTTCAGCTGGAGGCTAGGAGCGACCCGAATGGGAAATTATCCGCTTCTTGATTTTGGATGCGTGAGAGTCGTTAAATTACGTTCGTAATGAGGAGGCCTTCGAGCCTGATTTGGATCACTAGAGTTTCTCGAGGTCGATCATGATTATCATAACTGAAATTCTGATTCACCATGACATCATCAGGGACATGCTCTCGAGAACTCTCGTCCAGGCCGTACTGCTTATTTTCATGTTTATTTGCAGGTGACACATTGAACTCTCGGCGAGAGAGAAGGAGAGAAAATGAATCCGCTTTGGGTGGGCCTGGTGTGCTCGCTCGCCCTCGTGAGGGGCCAGGAGTCGGTCTGCGACCCGACGACGGGGTCGATCTACGACTTCTCCGAGGAACTCCTCGATGGGTCCGAGATCGTCGACTTCGACGATTTCGCCGGGAAGGTCGGTTTATTTGCATCTTCGGCGTCGAAGAACGACTCGGGTCGAGACGACTTTGTCTCGTCGCAGGTGGTGATGGTGACGAACGTGGCTACCTTCTGAAGTCGGACCGCGATCTCCTACACGGAATACAACGCACTCCAAGCGCAATTCGGGGAAGACCTCGTCATCCTCGCATTCCCCTGTAACCAGTTCGAATACGTGAGTACCGACTCGCATCGACACGACCCGACCTAATTATCGATAATCGATTACGAACGATCCTCGATCCCCAGAAAGAGCCGGGGGCGACGGCGGCCGAGATCTTCAACGGGATCACGCACGTCCGCCCGGGCGGTGGCTACGTCCCCCAGTTCCGTCTCTTCAAGAAGGTGGAGGTGAACGGCAGCGGGACCCATCCCGTCTTCGCCTTTCTCAAGGTCCGGTTTCGTTTCTCTGATGGAATCGTGTCAACATCTTGTCGGTTTTCGGGCGACTCCACCGTCATTTTGTCAAGAGACTGGGGAAAACTCAGAGAAAAAACTTCACTTTAAAAACACTCTTTCGAGGAAGAAAATTTATTTTTCACACAATTGGGACGTTCTCACTTGACCTCATTCAAGAGTGAGACTGTTCATAGAGTTATATATGAAAATATTTAATTGCAGTTTTCAAGAAATCGTGCGTAAAGGTTGAGACATCCGCCAATGTCAACCATGTAAAACGGAATATTTTTTTGGTAGGAACCCAACTAATTCTTAAAAAGGAAAAATATCGACTCCTTCTGATTATGCATTGCCATGGAAAATATGTGTTGTTTGCTCAGGGGACTTGTCCGAGCACGACGGACGAATTCCTGTACAAGAGCGAGCTGTTCTGGGACGAGTTGAACTCTCGCGATCTGAGATGGAACTTCGAGAAGTTCCTCATCGACAAGACTGGGAAGCCCTACAAGCGCTACCACCCGGCCGTGGACCCCATCACCATGGCGCCAGAGATCCAGGCGCTCATCGAGGCCTGATTCCATCGTGCGTGTCGAGAGGGGCGTGAGGTCGGAGGAGCGAGGGCGGGGAGAGCCAGGAATGACGAGGCGCCCTTAAACCGAATCTCGGTGGGGAGTTTCCGATGACGCGACGAGGTCACGTGACGCCCGGATCGCAGTCTCTTTTTGGAGTGCGGGACCGCGAATACAGGTGTCGATTCGACCGAGTTACCCTCGGGCTCTCGCCCTTTTTACTCCTCCTCCTTTTCCTCTCTCAGGAAATACAATGGCAGAAATTGAGAAAAGCAAAATCCACCTGGAGTTCATTCATTCTTGTTTCACTTTCCGTCCCCGAAAATCTCTCTAAGTCCATCCTTCGCATGGATCCACAGTAAAGAAAACCTGAGGCTTCCAGAATGAATATGGTATCGCGCACCATCTGCTCTGGAGGTCTGACTTCGTGGAATCGTCGGAATGGATGGTCTTGGTTCTCTCGGGCCCGGGAAGACTACACCTCCATCGCTCCTTTTGCTTGACACTAAGGCTGTTCCGATTATTGCGACATCGCGATATCGTTCGATGTTTCTTTCATCGGCGATACGCCTGCATATCGGGATNTCTCTCGGGCCCGGGAAGACTACACCTCCATCGCTCCTTTTGCTTGACACTAAGGCTGTTCCGATTATTGCGACATCGCGATATCGTTCGATGTTTCTTTCATCGGCGATACGCCTGCATATCGGGATAATTTAATTTTGCAAAATATATTTTTTACTCCTCTGTAGTCGCTGGAGAGGGGAAATAGAGCACACGAAACGCGCCATGATCAATAATGGTATATCTTCAGGTCGTTCGGAGATGTGGATCTGAAAGTCCTTTGTCCTGTCTGAATAGTTCGTGATTATGAAAATTTAAAGTTTTGTATTCATTGAAATGGAGGACAAAGAAAGGAAGCGTAGCACAATTGAGTCTCTTTATCTTACTGACAAATCACCGAGAGAGATCTCTCGTCTTTTAGCCAAAACGGGCATTAAGTGCCACTTCGTGTACACTACCATCAAAATGTGCAATAAACTTCGGTCTTCCAAAGACCGTCCGGAGCTTGGCTGCCTACGCACCAAAAGAACCAATCAGTTTCATTATAAAGTGGAAAATCGCGTTGCAAGAAATCCATTTCGCCCCCAGAGAAAATTGTCCAAATAACTGAACGTCCTGAGGTTCACCATTAGGACAATTTTGAAACATGACCTGGGACTTTGACTTTTCATGAAAGCGAAAACCAACTCCTGTGCAATGATCAGGAGCAAACGCGGAAGAATGGAGGTATGGCTCTTTTGAGTCGTTTCACATGTGACAATTGGATTGGGAAAATATATCGAAAGAGACAGTTGAAAAAGCGTGTTAAGACTAGATTCAAAGTTTGAAGGCGTGTGTAAAGGCAAACTTTGGACATTTTGAATCTACAATTTTGCCATGAAGGCTTTCATACTTGCGCTTTAATTTTAGAAAGTTTCATTATGTTTTAATGAACCGTTTAGGCATAATTTCTAGCCAAAATTTGAATTCGAACATAGAGCCCATCCTGCAATATTACACTGTACAAGTTAAAAGTTTATCTCTCAGCATAGAAAAATGACTACACTTTTGTCCATAATTGACACAATCAGACAAAGAATGGTGATGATGCATTGAAGATCGCCTTCTTGGCAAAGCGGCAGGTGGGCGTCAGGGATTTGGAGGGACTTGCACGGAGTTCAAAATCGCCATTGCCCAAGTCAGAGTTGACAACGCCTCATCCTCTGCTCTCCTGCTCGTCGACGTCGCATTTCCAGAGGTATTTCTCAAAACTTCGCAATTCCTGGAGCCATTCTACCATTTCTGACAGCTTCCAGTCATGCTTGATCAGATGGAGTCTCATCTGCTTTTCCAAGTTCCCAAGATAACCTAATGGGAACAGGAGTAGATCGGCGAAGACCACATTTCCTGCGCATGTACTAGCATTGAATCCCAATGATTTCCTTTCGTTCGCCAAATCAAAAGATGACCTTCCTGGAATCGATAAGTTGGCGGAAAGACCGCCGACCAAAAAAAAAAACCAAAAAAAGCAACCCAAAAAACGCTTCGAGATAGGAATTTGGGAGATGCTCAAAATTTTAGCGAAAGTACATGTAGTTGACAGAGTACTACCGAAAGTTGGGCAACCGAAGCGGCACATAATTGAAAGTCTTCCACATCAGCGAAAGGCCTACTATTTTTCGAAACCATTTCAACACAACCTTCCAGGAAGGTGTTGTGGTTGGCCCGAATTGAACAACAGATGAATTCATTTCAATAGCGAAATTGTCTACAGCATAAAAGAGAAATACTGCTTAATGTATTTTATGAAACAATATCGTTCTTTTGAAGGAAACCCCAAATGCTTTCAAGCCATTCGGTTTATGAAATCCTCCTGCTTTAGGTGGAATCTCCCCTCTCCTTTTCGTCATACCCAGGGGAAAAATAACGGGCGAGGGGCGAAAGGTCGAAGATCTCCATGGCGACCGAGAAACTCGCATTTTCCATCTCAAGTCAATATCGGCAAAAGTACTCCTCATATTTCAAGTCTCACCTGTGCGATAGGACAATATGAATGATCCAAAATGGGAAAACAGCGCAACGCATTCCCTCAACTTCACCCATGGAATCGATGCAAGGTGTACATCACGCGACCCACAGAAACACCAGATAATTCTGAATGAGTTGGGCCCACCTTCATAGGGAACTATGTGCATCCATTTATTGAAATCGGATTCGGAATCAAACGCAAATAGTAGTTGCCAAGGAATTAATTTTCGACGATCCTAACTTAGAGGGTCACCATCCCTACGTTCGCACTAACCTCCGCCCCCCACCCTATGAAAAGTAATCATTACATCTCCCCTAAAAATTCAAAGTATTTTTTATATAAATTAAACCCGGCGTGCCCGTCTTGCATGCAAATTACACGAGGATAAACTCTCTCTTATTCCGTATTGGCGTGAAAGCCTTTGATCACACGGGCTGCAATGAATCCAATCAATGCATTTCATGCATGGCTTTCTGCTCCCTCCGTGTCAAAATCATTCCTTCTGGAGGCAGCCTGTGAAGCAGCATTTTGTGGACATCGTTATGTTCTTTAATCCCCTGACTGTGACTCCAGAATGTCTCTATTCATATCACGTTCGGAAGTTCCAGCCTCAGAATAGTTTAAACTTCCCAACCTTCTTGGTGGTATTTTGCGAAGAACACTAAAATAAATATGATGAAATGCAGCGGTGATTCAATTCTGCCGATATACGCGAAGCAGTGTCGTAAACCGGCGACGGGGCTGGTAACACTGACACAAGATAATGACACATGAATTATGACATATGATCACTGCCAGCAGTCACCAAACCATAGATGTCCGTAGCCGACAATGCCTTGTACATTCATTGTTGGTTGTGAGCACTTCGCCTGGGAAGGTATTCAGTAAATTGTTATTTTTATCGCCGAATTAAGGCCCTATAACGTCAGAATTGTATGACTTTTGGAACTGTTGACCAAATAATTTTCTCCTCTGGGTCATAAACTTTCAATTGACACCTACAGTATTCAGATGAAACACACCAAATGAATTTGGAGCTCCCAAGAATCAGATGGAGAAGTGGGATATGGTTCCCGTTATCAAAGGCAATCATGTCCTCACATTTATGAAATGGATTCGTTGGATGAGGTGGATTAGATAAAGGAGAAGCTGCAGGTGCTGGATTAGCTGGAGGAGCCCTTAGTAGTACCTAATTAAGTACTCTTTTCATCGTAAAACTATTCGAGATGTTGCACTGTAATTTCTTTGCATTTTTCTTAGGCGGTTCTTTCTGATTCTCCAGGAATCCCATCTCATACATGATTGTGAGATGATCAGAGACATCAGAATTGACGACGAGCAAGTGTACTTTCCTGTACCACGAGTCCAAATAGACTTTGAAGTCAAAAAAGGAAAAAGGCCAAGTCCTTTAAAAGCAACAGCAGCTTCGTCAAATCGTACAACAACTCGTCCCTTCAATACTGGGGCGGGAAATTCTTTCTTTTTCATAAATCTTATGAGACTGTGTAGTAATACCAAGGAAGCAGCAAACAGCTGCATGAAATACCTAAGCGGCCTGAAAGGCTTGTCATCCCGTTTCTTTCAAGCTAGGACTTTGCTTTAACTGCGAATATGAGAAAGAAAACTTGGTTCTTGCTGTCACCGTATAAATAGCCAAGTTTAACCCTTCCCATGGGTTTCATCACGAGGAAAACCTAGGAAATGGTTTCTGTCATGGGTTATGAAGTTATGGGTTATGGTTATGCCCGTGAAGCACAACCGATGAAAAAGATGAGAGAATACTGTGGCCGTTTCCTACCTACGCCCCAGATTTGAATCCTAGCGATTTCCGTTCCTTCGCCATATCAAAAGTTATCGTCATGACAGCGAAGAATATCTTTCAAAAGGCAGCCAACAAATGGTTAAGTAAGCAACCCAAAGAAATATTCGGAGTAGGAGTATGAGAGATGCCAAACAATTTGGGAAAAGTGCGTGTTGCTGAAGGAGAAGTTCCGAATGTTCGGCAAACCCGAGTGGCACATGACTCATTTCGATGTGTCTCAGCGCAGACTAAAAAGGCTACTAAAAATAAACCCTCACTGAGGAAAAGGATAGATGAACAAGGCTCCTTCACACCCTTCTTTCGCCGCTTGGACGGAAAGGGATGAAACCGAAGCTCGCGACTTGCCTTGCCGCAGACAAGATCCTGATTTAGCCAGGCCCTGCAGATGAGGAGGGCCTCCCCTTTGGCTGTGCGTCCTCCCATCAGGGCCCCTGCTTGGACAGATGATGCTGCCACCCAGTCCAGGTCGCCCATGGTGAGATTCACCAGCACCTGCAGACATTTGACAGAATACAGAAACGAATAAAATAAACGAGAAATGCATTTTATCCTAAACAAACTGTAAAAATTGAAATCTCTTCCAGAGGAATGATTATTATTTTTTAAATCGTGATATTGACTCAAAAGTATTCAAATACACTATAATTCGATGCAGCATAGCTGGAGTCGAGGCCCCTGCCCCTTACCTTCGCCCACCAGACAGAGAGACATTGAGAACTGCCATTGGAAGTTCCTAACATCACCAGTAACGAAAAACACAAGGAATAAATATACCCCTCCAAATCCAATTGTCACATCTTGCTCTGCGCGAAAAAATCTCAGACGTGAATCCCTCACTTCAAAGGTATCCACTGGATTATCCTTCTCCAATGTGAAAA